GGCGGAGAAGCCTGTACTGTGGATAACATCATCGGGGGCGGCGGCGGCGGCGGAGGTGGTGGTGGAGGTAGTGGTAGTGGTAGTGAAGCTGATGGCGACGCAGGTAGGACATCATTTGAGAGCTTGAGCACGGGAGGCGGTGGTGGTGGTGGGGGCGCAACCTGACGCTTAAAATCGGTCTCTGTAATGAACTTCGGCTTCTCAGACAATTGCTTTTTGAGGCCATCGACTTCTGCTTGTAAGGACGCTATTTCTTCGTCTTTACGGGTCAAGCTGTCAATTGCACGTGTTGCCATTAGTTCTACATCCAACTCAGCTTCGCGAGTCTCCTCCCGCAGTTTAAAGCGAGAATATATGGATTCCATGGCTCGCTTTAGGTAAATTATCTCCTTGTCCTTCATGCTGACGGCGGTCTCAAAGTCACCAGTCTGAGAAATCACATTAGAATCAGATGAGCTGAAAATACTAATTGTTGACCTGTATCTTCAGCTTGGCTATTTCTTCCATCAAGGTGTTCCATTTGACACGATCGCGTTCCCTCTTTGCTCGGTCATCCTAAGGGGCTCGCAGTTAGTCCGTAAATCCACAATCGCTGGATGGACGACATACTGCATCTCGCCCCTCGGTAGGATTCTGAGTATTCACGCGATCGAGGTCCGCTTGCAATCGAAGGACCTGTTTTTCCTTCTGAACCAGACGTTGCACGAGCCCATGAAAGCTCTGCCCAGACTAGTACCACGTAAGGAAGCGAATTGTCATGATTGCCAGTATCATACCTCGGAGCCACCTCTCCCTGCACCTCTGCCACTTGATCCTGGAGCACTGAGATTGATTGACTTAAGAGTATTGAGTTCAGCGACTTGCAGATCAAGCTGATTCCTGAGTTCAGTCCTCTGCATAAATGACAGCGAGTGAAGAATGTCAGGAATCCTTTCGCAACGTAGATACATGACTTCACCTCTTCGCTTAATTCATCGACCTTGTTTCGCAGTCTGTCAACTTCCTCAGATAGTACAGTCTCGTGATCACCCGCAGGAGGCTTGATTTCCAGTTCCTGACCAGTGATGTACAATACATCTGCTATAAAGCGATTCAAGAATGAAGTCCAACCCTCCTCTCTGCAAGACGACGTAAATGATAATCCAAAGCAATGACACTGTACAAGACTCACAGCTCGTTTAGAACTAGGCTTTCAGTGACGAACGTGTCCAGAATGATGAGGAGATCTGATCGCAGTTCACTACTCATTCTTAATACATATACATCATCAGCGTAGATTTGAAAATCTCTTACCCGTCCATTGGTCTGGAAAAGAAATCGCTGAGGCGTCGAAATATTTGCACGAGCACGGGGTAAAGATTATCATGCTCTCGGGCTAACCGCAACAGTTCCTCCAAAGCTGGTTCGGAGGTTGACTGGGATGGTTCGGTATTGACCAGATCGCGTGCGCGCTCACGCATATCTTCCTCATCTTCGAACTTCTCCTCAGTGTAGACATCCAACTGTGTAACCAGAGAATCGGGCGGTTTTATATAACGCAGGGTCTATGCATCAAATCAATGAACAGTACACCCGTTGAAGATCAGGAAGCACATACAACGATCACCTCGTTCAAACCTCGGCGACCAAATTCTTCTCTAAGGAGGACTCGCTCTTCCAAAGCATCCGGACAATTGGTCAAAGCATTTACAAGAGCCATGGAAGCAGTCCTGGCCTCCCAAACGCCTTCCTCGTCATTCGAGTACCCAAACTCGCTGACAATGGTTCCGTCATCTGTAACTTCTGGCAGACGCAGTGCGGCGATGAGCTCTTGGTATCGAAACGATTCCTCAAATTCAACACGGTAGTCAGACATAGCAGACAACACAGCTTTGTGGCCCTCCGTCAGCGAAAGCACACATATCGCCGCCAGGACTTCAGATGTGAGAGTCCTGAGTTTGACGCTTGATCCATGCAGAGAATAGGCAATGTGGGTTATAATTGTCGGCGCGGACAACACTTCGTTAAACCCAGGCTGCCGGCTATTAGATACGTTCTTCAGAATATGGCACTCATTCCACACACCTCAGTGTTTAAAAGTACTCTGAGACATTTGATAATTTCCAAGAGGACGGTATCTTCGACATCCGTCAGTTTCTTCCGTTTACCTCCCTTGCCCACTAAACCTGCCAGTAGATTACCAATTGTCTGTAAGCCTCTCTCAACTTCGACGAAATCTTCAATCCAGGCCAAATTCGCCGTGGACAAATGTACTCGAAGGGAAATTAGATGCTTAACCAGCTTGGTATCCGAAGACTTTCCATTACGGATGGTATCCGCATACCATTTCGCGGTTTTCTCTGTCTCTCTAGCCCCGGCCCCTGAAGCAGTTCCTTTCTCGCCACCTGATGATGCCCACCAACTACTCCACAATCCTCCCGTTACTTGTGGCTGGACTATGGAAGCATTTACAGGCCTCTCCAACGTAGTCCTCACAGACGCAGTAGAGTCTCGCTTCTGAACTTCATACTCGCCGCTAGTGCGAGTGGGCTCGATGGATCCAACAGTTGGAGAATTAGTTGCAGACCCCCATCCCGCAATTGAGAAGCGCTTCATAAGCCCAGAATCACCAGTAAGTTGTGGAACTAGGCGAGGTAAAAGAGCAGCCGCTGAGGCGGGTCCATACGTAGATGGCTGAGCAACACGCTTAGATGACGCTTTCAGACCAGATGCCCTAGAGAACGTAGATGATCGGCTGTCTTGGTGGTTTCGCAGAAGATAGCGTTTCTGTTCAGCAGGAAGCTGGTACATGCCTTCACGTTTAGAGCCTTTGAGACCCACTTCATCCTGCGTATTTTATGAGCCACGAAAGTATCCCTTTCGCAGATACTACGTACAAGAAATTGTTCAAATTCTCCAGCATCAACTTCGGATGCATCGGGATCCGACTCCGCATGACGCCTAATCGACCCAAAACTGCCATCCACATTATGCTCTACCAGCTTGGGCTCGCTGACTGTTTTCTTCTCCCCGTTAGCAGCCGGAGGACTGGTTGGATGCATCCAACCCTCGAAAATGCTGGAGAATCTATTCTGAGAGATCGACCCGCGCCAATCGGTCGGTGCATTAAAGCCTGACACCGGATTCACCAAGCGTGTGGCTTGATTCAAATCCTTCTGTTTGGCGGTGCCTTCACCCCCCTCATTCTCGTCGGCTTCTTCCAAATCTGCAAGTCGTCGGATTGTATCTTCTGAGGGCTCTGAAGAAGTGGAGGATATCGATCGAGACTTTGATCGACGGTACCATTCATCTGGTACGCAAAATCTAAAGCTGCGTGATGCAGGAAACGTCGCAGGAGCGAAAGGATTTGTTGTAGAGGGCTTTTCGATGATATCTGAGACAGTCATAGACGGCTGTATTCTTACTGAGCCTGATGGTCCTTGAATTCAATCTGGGTTTGGACGCTTCATAATGAAAACTTACGCTCGGAGGTACCACTTGTCCATACTTCTTCAAACACATACTCTAACGCTCCCCCACCAGGAACAGGTAGTGTTTTCGTGAGACCTAATTCATCTACGACGGAATTGATAGCTTCGTGGACGGTGGATGATCTCGAGATGAAGAGCTTCCACTGGAATCCATCATGGATCTCGGGAACACGAAGGAATGAAAATGTCAGCGAAAGGAAGGGATGCAGCGAAACCAAACGTAAGGCGGGTGTATGAAGGTGTGAGGTCAGCGGAAATGCCGAGAAAGTCCTCTCCGAACGGTCGGTGGGAGAAGACACACTTAGATATGGGGCCACGCAAGCCAGAGATGGCAGCAAGCCTAAAGCGTTGGTGTCGTTGTCAAGAAAATGCAAAATATATATCAGACACTCTTACCGTTTCCGAGCTCCTCAAGCTCTTCCTCCTCCCACTGACGACCGGGCGAGTGCTTTCGAATCTTCTGCAAAGCCCAGCCATAAGGCTCAAAATCTCCCAGTACTTCAGCGGCAGCTTCTGAGCTTGAGAGTAGCTCGTCTATGACATTCTGTATAGTACCAGATGATGGTATCGTCGCAAAGTGGAGAGATCCAGTGGGGACGACGACAGGAACAATTAAAGAATTGTCAGACATTCTTCTGGCGCACAGTCAAGAATGAGATTCACGAAGGCAATATTGATTCCGGAGAACAGAATGTGGGATGAGAGCAGAAGTAGTGACCATCGAGGTTCCTCGTCTAGCTCAGCCGATCCAGCTTCAGGCTTGTGGACTCAGAGAAGCTTAGCGTGAATCCGGCGCGCGTTTCCCGCTGCGCAGAGGGGCGTAGACGTTCAAGATGATGTTGTTAACTCGCAAGAAGAATTCAGGTCTATATGTGATGGTTGCGCGGCCCGAATTCAGCCACAAGCTGGCCACGAGCACCGAGAAGTCCAATCTGTGAGTCGACCCCCCAGACTCCACTTCTAACGCGTCCCACGCAGTGGCAACGCATAGGCCCGGGACGGCTTCCAAATACTACATTAAACACTACTTTGTACATGTAAACTGGAGTGCTACAGGAGATAACAGACAGCAACGAAGATAACAAATGTCCACAAATACTTTTCCGACGAGCAGATCAGACACATTCGAGTACTATGGAACAGATGATGAACCCTCAGTGTCAACAGACGGGTGCACCATGTAATATACACGTATGTTACTCTCTGGTCCGTCGAATGACGGCTGCCCACTGCTCTCGTCCATGGAGGCTGGTAACGACTCTTGCACATCGCCCTTGATTTCAATCAGGTAATTATCCTTTACGACACTCGGTCAGCTCTAATTCGCATGCAAAATTATTGCGCGTTACTCACCTTGACTAGCTTACGAAGCATTTTGGTGATGAGCTCCTTCTCATACTCAAGTTCTTCTACGTCCTGTATCTCAGACTCCTTGACCTCGAGATACCAGTCAATTAGCTCATCTCGGTCGACTCCTCTGCCAGTTTCTCGTTCGATCTGAGACAAGTGGAGTACAATGAGGCTCTGCAGGGCCATATACTTGTCATGGGTGATGACCATTCTCCGCTTAGGTCGCGACGGCTGTTCAGGCGCATCAGGCACCATGCTAGTCCCTCTCGCAACACCGTCGGACGAAGCAGCGCCATTGAGACCACTGAAGCTGGACCCATTGACACCCATTGACTCGTTATAGCTCTGCTCCGTCTCTTCCAGGGCTGCGATTTCGGCGGCAGACATTTCTACGTCTTGGCTATCTTCAACGTCCTCTGGACGTGATTTTGGTCGTTTGTCGCCCTCTCGCTCACCTTCCAGCTCTTCCTCGTCGAAGTCGATATCGTCTTGCTCTACATGAATGATAGACTGACGCAGAAGGGTGTATGCTTCTCTAATAAATGCGGGGGTAATCTGTATAGCCAGTCAGTCAAATTTGCAGTGACGCCGTATTCAATCAAGACATACTTCAGCGGTACAGTTAGCTCTAGCGATAGCTTCACTCAATCGAATCATGGATTCCAATTGACGAACGGTGATTCGATACGAGTTTCTACCTGTTCCGGAGGCGTCATCTTGCCTCAAGATACGATACTTCTCTACTAGGACATCCGCAGCATCTGGCGTGAGCTAGTGGCATAAGATGAATGTCAACATGTAGGAACTACCGCGACGAGGACTCACTTTAGGATTGAAGGTTCTTGCATAACGAATGTACCTCTGCAGAGCCTCCGTACTAAACTCCGGGTGTATTGCTTCGTCTTGGAATCGATGCACATTCACAATATGCTTTGCAATGTTCAAGTCCGACTTCTCGTCGCACTCGTCGAGAACGACGAAGAATAAGTCAAATCGACTCATGATTGGGGCAGTCATCGCGACGTTTGCACGAAGAGACTTCTTGCGATCATATCGACCTCCGATGGGATTAGCTGCTGCAAGGATCGAAGTTCGTGCGTTGAGGGTAGCATGAATACCCGCTTTCGCGATAGAGATAGTCTGCTGTTCCATCGCTTCGTGGATAGCTACCTGATCGGAAATGTCCATTTTGTCAAATTCGTCGATCGCACAGATGCCATTGTCAGCCAGCATAAGCGCGCCAGCTTCAATTGTGAAATCGCCAGTTTCCTCGTCCTTGACTACAGCAGCTGTGAGACCAGCCGCAGATGACGCCTTTCCAGATGTGTACACGGCACGGGGGAGAAAAGAGCAAATGTACCTGTACAGAGAATAGATCAAAGATATCGCTTGCCACTACAACTGGGCTTCCTTACTTCAAGAATTGAGACTTTGAGGTCGACGGATCTCCTACAATGCAGATGTTGATATCACCACGAAGATGCATGCCTTCAGGTGTTTGTTTATGCACACCCCCCATCAGTTGCAGCAGAAGGCCCTTCTTAACAATCTCGTGTCCGTACACTGTTGGAGCAATGCTTTCCACCAATCGAGAATAGATGTGATCTGACTCAATCATGCCCTTGAGTTCTTCAAGCTCGGGCTCGGTTAAGGATCTGGCGAAGGCTTCACTCTCGTCTTCACCTTGTGTGTCTTCTCCCCGAATATTCGTACCTGTCTGTAGCAGAAAACATGAGATTTGAACCTACATAGACAAGATCTATCACCCACTCGCCCATCGGCATCATGTACCATACAGGCCAGAAATGCCGTTTTGTACTGAAGGTCCCTCACACCCAAACTTTTCAGCCCTGTGACTCCAGCTCCGCCTACTGCGGAAGCAGCCGAGTTAGCCCCTGCTCTCGCAGCTTCTCGCATCAACTCGGCCTTGTTACCACCGGGAAGACCAAGTTGGCTGACGTCCGGGACAACAATAAATGTGCCGGTGAATACACATTTGTCTCCTGCCTTGGCTCGTTCGACCAACTCCGAACGGAGGATGACGTCGAGCGAGCGTGGCATAGAGCCTGTCGGGATTTCGGAGGGATTTTCTTGAATGCGGACCTTCTGCCAATCTGTAAATTTTGAGTTGTCAATCTGAAGTTGCCATGCAGTGCGGTTTCCGCACGTCGGATTGGGACACAGGCTTGGCTGCATGACAGAAATAAGATCATGAGCTCTAATCACGCGAGCGGACCTACCTCCGTATACTTGAACTGCTGTTCTATTTCATTAACCTGGCCACCACAAACCTCGCAAATGAAGCTGCCAAATAAGAGTTCCGGGCGGACTTCGCTGGTGCGAGTCACTGTGCCACTTATGCTCATTAAAGTACCAATTTTATCTGTCCTCAGATCTCGTATACCCGAGACCAGCGGAAGATGATAGAATGCGATGTTGAACTCGCGAGACTGGAGGTTGACCGAGTCTGTGGCGGCAGCGGTTGGATTCAGCTTGAGATATTCGGGCTCGTGTTCTGCGACAAGGTTGTGCAGAGCGCGTCTAATGTATGGAAGGAAGCGATAGTATTGCCTCTGGATCGCGTCGGCGAGGACGTCATCCTTTTGTAGGAGGTGGCCATAGTCGACGTAGAGCGTCGTTAGCTCGTATTCGCGCATTGTGTGGATCTGCTCAATGTAGATAAGCTCTCCATCTGGGGCAGCCGGAATACCGCCATCAGAGGCAGGTGTTGGGGCAAGATTGACATCCTCGGTGAATCTGTGAGAACAGTGATGCAGTCTCGACTAAGAGCCGGAGGAAAAGACTTCTCACGTTCTTAGGAATGTTTCGAAGCTATCCTGTACACTTTCTCCTACGGCGTCTTTCACGACTGGAACGTCACCATTGGGTTGACCTCTTGGCCTCCGCCTCCTCCGTGATCCACGACCGGTCTCATCGACCTCTTCAGCTTCATCATCGCCAAAGTTCAACGCGTGCGAAGCAGGGTGAGCTCTCCTCGGAGTCGGACCACCGGGTGATTGAGAAGCAACAGGAACACTACTTGGAGGCAACGACGATTGGCGCAGAAGAGGAGAGGAGGATAAACCGTCGACATCCATTGCTCGACTTATGGATTTTGCAGGAGAGGTTTGGAGTTGGACGCGTCGCGGCGATTAGACACGAGAAAGTCTGCCCTAAACGAGCGTGTGGCACCGCGTGCCGGCTGCTAGGACTCAGCCACCTTGAGCCTCGCGATGCACTCGTCTCCACATTATCTCCCCTAAGCTTCGCTGCTACAATCTTTCCATGGAGATAGAACCACTTGATCCCGTCTACGTCCGTGAACGACTCTCTCGCCCTCCCTTCGTTCAGATTCCTGGTGTGGCTAATGTCCGGGACTTGGGCTCGTATCATAGCGTTACGCATCCTGGGTCCATGACCAGACCTCGCATGTTATTTCGATCAGCTGAGATATCTGCCATTACAGAAGAGGGTGTGTGTCATCCCTTCCCTTACTTCGAATCCATGCCGATCTACCAATACTCCTGAAATCACTGAGATCCGGCTTATGTCTTGCAGGAAAGGTCAAACTTAAGGAGCTAGGTATCTCGGTAGTCTATGACTTGCGGTCAGACACCGAAATTGAGCGGTACGAAAGCCCTATGCCTGAGATTGAAGATGTGGAGGTTCTGCGAGTTCCAGTATTTAAGACGGAGGACTACAGCCCGGAAATGATGGCCAAGTACGTCAATGCCATTTATGCCGCCATAGGCCCACCACGAGTTATTTACAATAATATTAATGTCGTAGACGATTTGCACTGTATGCCAGTGGAAAAACCGAAGTGCGTGGTTGCGCAAAGCGTATTCGTTGCACACTTGAACATTCCGCGTGCGTTATAAGGCTTTCATGGAACTTTATTCCCAAATTTTGGATCACGGAGGACTTGCATTCGGGGTGATCCTCAGGCATGTGAGAGATAGCCCAAATGAAGGATTGTTGTTTCATTGCACAGGTCCGTTCGGTGAATTCGCACCGGCTTCATAGCTCATGTCTCTTTTGTCAGCTGGAAAAGATAGGACTGGGATTGCAGCAGCGTTACTTCTCAAGGTCAGTCTGACTCAAGTCATGTAACATCTCTTATAATCTGTTTACTGTAGTTAGCGGGTGTGGAAGACAACGAAATTGCAGAGGATTATGCTCTGACGAGAGTTGGTCGAGAGCCTGCTCGTCAGAAAGTTATGACTCGTTTGAGTCAAATTCCCATGTTTGCGACGAATACAGAAGCTGCGCTTAACATGTTCACTTGCCGGTATGTGAAGTAAATATCACGTGTATTTTAACACTAAAGCACCGTCATAGCCGCGAAGTCATGTTTGCATTCCTTGCGCTGCTGAAAGACCGCTATGGTGGAGTTGAGGGATATCTTAGAGATTATGTCCACCTCTCCGACGACGATATACATGTAATCCGGCGGAATCTGCTTGCGCCTGAGAAGTGACAGACGAGTACTACCACCCAAGTCATATAATCCTTGGTCTATGATATATTATACCTCCCTGCTAACGTTGCGTAGCAACCATGGACAAACTGTAATGTAGATCCAGTACGGATATAGGAATAGCATACAATGCGCCGGTCATCTGAGTCAGATCGTATTAGGACTATAAGCTCTACAAGCTGGAGCGTGGTATCTTCCCTTCATGGAGCAAATGTTATGTCCTCCTATTCAGATTTAGCGTCCGCGACTGTGCCTTCGCTTGTGTCTGACCAGGAAGCGGACTGGTAGGTGGATGCGCCAGTGTAGAAGCCAACAGCCCAGTCTGCCCACGAGCTTTGGGATTCAATGGAGATAGAACACCTCCAGTTCGAGAAGGTGGCCGCACGGGGGCCTCTCCTGTAACTTTCCGGCGAACGGGGGGACGTGTTGACGATTGCGCAGCTGGGGTGGAAGATGCCGGTGGGTTGGGCGGGGGCATCATTTTTTCATCGCTAGAGAACGCGGCAAAGGGCGTGGTATCGGCTCCTAATGCCTGCCGTCGGGCCTTCTCATGCCTAGCTTGTACAGATCGGAAGTGAGAGAGTAACTCCTGCCACTTGATCTCTTCGCGACCCAGTTTCGACCGTGTCGACGAAATATTTCCAACGGACCTAACAAAAGATGCTGACAATGTATAATGGTAATGACGCAGCTGACTTACGATTTAGGTGCTATGTGCAAAAATCCTGCCGAATTGACTGCATTCAAACGATTCCGAAGCGAGACAAATGCGGAGCTTTGAGGCAGTAACATCAGAAGACCATATAGACACTTGAAGAGGTGTGGATATTTCTCTGGCTCCAAAAGCTGTAATCGAAGATCTGATCCAATGTATAAGTATCCGTGGAATGCAGTATGGATGTGGTTACTTACAGGTGAAAACCGGCGACTCAATAAGTTGAACGAGTTTATCTATTTGGACGAGTAATTGTACGGTGATCTCGAGATCAGCACTTGGGGAAAAAATTAGTAATTGGTATTATCACAGAATTGTGAACATACAATATATACAGAAGATTTGACGCATGTTCGTATGCCTGGGCTAGCAGACATAGCGAGAACACAGCTACGGGGTTGTGGCACCATGATCTATAGAGTGTCGTAAACAGCGCTTGGCCGTCTTGCTATTCAAGTGTATTGTCAAGGCATGTGTAGGAATGTGTCTTCATGATACTTACACGTGTCTCCAGACTCTTGAGTCTCCTACGAAAATCTGCTAGCTCTGGGGATGTTATGAGAATCATGTTGAGCTTCTGGACCATTCCACTGGCGAACTCAAGGTCCTATCCAGAAGTTCTCAACATATACTAAACAGGGAGCCGACGCAGTCACTTCGTACCTCTTCCTTTTCAAGAATTTCAGCAAACGTTCGGTAGATTCGCTCAGTATTAAGATTGAGGCAAAGTTGCCGGATAATGAGACTTCCTCGTGCTTCCAACAGACCCCTGTCTGTGCTGAAAAGATCCAAGAGATTGATCATGAATGCCTTGAAGTAGCTCTCATCCGAGCTAGATGATATTTGGGCGATGAGCTGTAGGTCATTTTTTATAACCTAACAATAGGCGGGAGCCCGTCAGCTGACGTTCTGCGGTTACACTCGGCACGCGAACCTCCTCTGAAGGGTCAGACAACGTCTTGAGCAGCGCCGGGAACGTGCCATCATCAATAGCGAGTATCTAAATTTCCAGGTAAGATTCAATACTCGTTCAAAATATGACCTGATCAACCTTCTTCGGTGCTTTCTGGTGAAGCATTAGGAGCCACTTCAATGCAGCTACCCGAGTGTCCTCGTGTTCGCTCAGGAACTGGATCGTAAGGGCATTGACGGTAGCTTGATAGTCAAATTGCTCCGGCTTCTCCTGGAGGATTGATGCATCAGGCGATTGTTGTAACTGAATTCCACTGACGGCTGAAGTCGGTGATCCGGGTCGACTGCCATGAGGTTGAGCATTGACCGTATCCACCGACAGACTACCCGTGGTAACTTTAACAGATTCAGATCTGAGTGGTCGCTGAGCTGATGTCGTCGAAGCACGGTCAGAAATGACGACAACTGGTTCTGGCGGAGACTCTGGAGAGCTGAGATCTCGTCCTACTATAGGATCCTTCACAGCGGTGGACTGTCTAGATGGTGCCAGTGATGGAGGGACAGGAGGAGAGCCAGGGATCATATACGATGATGATTTATCTGTTCCTTGCCGAGTTTGTACGTCGGGAGGCGGAGGCAAGCTTTGGATAACTTTCATTAATAGTCTGTTCGTACGAATAGCAGCTGTCTGAAACATGGGCACAGGATGTGAAAGGTTTGGTAGAATGGCGAAAATTAGACGAGGGGTAAATGGGAACATGACTTCTTGCACAATTTCTAGAAATTCAGAGAGCCATCGGAGGGCAGTGCATTGTTGAATGACTTCATCTATCGAAGAAAGCATATATCAAAAAGTATAGCAGAACACAAAGAAATCCACTAACGTTGGTCATCGAGCTGTTGGATCATAATTTCTACTATTGCTGAATAGTCTATTTTAACCCCTTGTCCCGGAACCCAGTCTGGTCATCAAGCGAGATTCAATATTCTGAATAGATCACATCTGAGCAATAACTCACATCCAACATCATGCCCTTCAAGTTCGGGATGTTTCTCGTCAGGAGACGATAGCGAGGTATCGTCGAAGACATTCTCATTATCCGATGAGAATACCCCTCGATCCGTCTTTGCAGTAGCACTTTCAGATAACTTCTCTTTTTCTGCTTCAGCCCGCCGAGCGTGTTCCGCCGCGGCTTCCCGTCTTGCTTTGATTTGCTCTTCACTGCGTCGCTGAACAGCAGTCACATCACGGATCTCGTGCAGAAAATCGGCAAGTAGGTTTTCCGTCGGCACACGAACGTCCTCCGACGGGTCGGATAGATACTTGCTGCAATGAGAAGCACGTGAATATAGAATGTATGAGAGGGAAACTAAGCACTAACAGAAGACCGTCAAGAAACTCGGGTAGATAGGTAATAAGCTCTAACTCCGGAACGGAGTCGAGGACGGTGATCCACGATACAAGATAGCTTCTGGTGAAGGGGCTCAAGACATATATCCTTTCAGACAGCAGGGGGATGAAGTGAGCCAGAGAGAATGCCTTGCGTGCTCCCTGAATATCTTCGCCGTTAGCCAGATCATCAGGATGGGGCACTAATATACTGTATCCATGCGCTTCTTCAACTCTACGGCGAATCTTCTCTGTCTCAGGATAATGAGGTATGTAGACGGAAGCAGTCTCAGCAACGATATCTTTCAAAAGGCGATCCAGCAACTCAGCACCGTTCTTGACAGAAAGCTCGGAATCTGCTGCAAGCTACCCTACACTTAACACATAGACGCAATACGACGGCTGTTGCTCACCTTACTCAGGGCATCAAATATTGGGTTGAAATATACCAATATCTCCCCCTTCGAGACTTTTGCGATGTTGTATAGACATTCAGCAGAGAAGTACCGCACTCTGTTCTCCGGGTCCGTGAAGCAGATCAGCAACGAGTCCACGAATTTCTCCATATATGGTGCAATGTCTACTCCAAGAGCAATAGCAGTTCCAGCCAGACCGATGAGTCCTCCGTTCCGTACGTGCAACGGGTTGGACGGGTTGCTGAACATATCCACGAGCTGGTCAACTATTTGGCTAATGCGGCGGTGGTCGCCTTGCTGATGGCATTCCCGAATTTGCCTACAAAATTGTGCACCACATCACTGACCGAATGGCAATGAAGGATGCTGGAGGTTACTTCTCAAGCTCCAGAGCAGCCGCCTTGCGTTTCTCGTACATCTTGTCGACCAGCTGTTTCGACACGCTTGACTCTGGAGCAGGGCTTCAGCATGAAGATATTTTTATATGTGTGAGCATACCCATGGTGTACAATCAGTCTTCCAATGCCAATACAGGAGTAGTATGTTCCAACAAAGGCTGGTTCTGGCTTCATCGACACCGTAATACCGTAGGCTGAACAAGCCGCGCCGCCGGCCAAGTGCTTGCACAACGCGTCTGGCACGTGCAGCTCTGCTTAGTCATCCCAGATCGCTTTCAATTCCAGGTCGCGCCATCTGCCAGATCAAGAAGACACCCCTAAAGCATGGACGACGAAGAGGCCTACATTCTCTTGCTCCTCTCAGACAGCAATCTTCCTACGGGCGCGTTCGTAGCATCTGCCGGACTTGAATCCTACGTCGCGCATGGCTTCTTTCAGCGCATACCATCAACATCCACAGGAATGCAAAGTGAAGTCGACCCGAGCATAGATTTTTTGCGAAATAGCCTTGCTACCTACGCCCACAGCGCTTTGCCATTCGTCTCAGACACTCACGAAATTGTCGATGCTTTCCTTGCGTTGCCGAGCGATGATTTTTCGGCGGATACATCTGCGGATACTCTAAATCATATCAAAGCTCTAGACGATCTCTATGAAGCCATGACACTGAATCATGTCACTCGTCGAGCATCAAAGTCTCAGGGCGTTGCACTACTCACGTTGTACGCTAAGGGGTTTTCGAAGCCCCCGCATTTTCAGGTGGACTTATCCACGTCTTCCGGTCTCCAAACGCAGCGTACAGATCGAGCTGCCAAGTTGGTCGAAAAACTCAAGCTTGATGTCCGACGGGAAAAATCACATGGGCATCTGCCTATATGCTGGGCAGTCCTAACGTCCTGTTTGGGGCTGTCTCTTGGTGCGATTCGGTCTCTTCTATCTCCGGTCATTCCTATCATGTTGAGTCTGAGCTTTCTGTAGGACGTAGTCAATACCTCCACCTTTTCCTTTACGCGCGTAGCATATTGTCAGCCTCAGTGCGCCTTAATACTCTGGGCCCCTACGCATCTCAACAGTTGTTACTGCATAGCGTACGACCCCTCGTCGAGTCAGAGACAGCACGTTGCAGGGACCTTCATACCAGCTACCGACATTCTGATCCAAGCGCCGGGTCTGATAAAGCTGATTTCAACGAGACTACGAACGGTCCCGCAGTTACTTGGCCCCTCGGCGAGATTCTTGCTGCTCGCCACGACCTCCAACATTCACGTATATTCAACTCCTAAGGACTTGAACCGGCATGCCCAATGTATTCGCGGCATTCAAGTGCACCATCTTTTCGCACAAGACAAACATCTACGTTGCTGTTACAAGCGCCAATCGCGAGGAAACTTCTGCCTGCGAACGAACCAGACTTGCAATATACGAGACCATAAGGGTGTCCTAGAGGCATGGTGGCTGAGATGAGCATGCGTTGAAGGTAAGCGTCTTCATGATCATACCTGAAGACTCGCGTTGAATCCATTCTTCTCTAAGTCATCCGTGCTCGCGCCCAGTGTGTCCATGAGATACCGCCCGACAGCGGGGTCACCTTTCACCTCGCCAGACAGCACTGAGCGAACATAGGAGAGGACCCGATCAAGCATGGCGCTAACAGATTGCAGGGAGTTTTCGAGCACCTCCAGATCAGTTGTTGGATGTGCGGCAGTTGAGGTGGGAGATGCAGCTGTGCCTGTGAGGAGATCGACTGTGATGGGTCAACAGAACGTCAGCAAATAGGATCGATGTAGTTAAATACGAGGACATACACCCACTGCGCTCCACATCTTGGAATCGCAGCTCACACGGGATGGGAGTGAAAACGCAATTTTCGGGCTTAGGGAATACACCAACAGGTGATCTGTTGAGCGTGTACATAACTTATGCACTGCTATTGGACGAATGTAGAATGGGAAGGCTCACCCTACATATGCCTTAATCCCCGCTTGCTCGCCCTCAACGACTCCCGTGTTGAGGGCGAGGTGAATGGCCTGGTGTGGTGCGGTTTCTTGCGAGTAGAAATTGTGGATGAGGGCAGAGTAAGTGTTTAGATTTGATCCCGTAGAATACCTTGGTTCAAATGCGTCGGGTCATGGCGGGATCGAGTAAATGAGCTGCATACCATCCGACGATACCTTCCTTTGGGTTTACTTTGTGATGCAGCTCGTACATCGTTTTGAGGTAGTCCATGTCCACAGCTACCTGCTCCTCCGTCTCGCTGTGCAGCACGGCAAAAGACGAACGGACTTCGATCTCCCCATTCTCGGAACGCTTTCCAAGCAAGGTCCCAATCACCCGCTCTTGCGCGTCCGTCCGTCGGAGGTAGTGGTCAAGGATGGAGAAGAGAGCGACGGGATGAACAGTGACCGACGTTGGGGCGCGACTACACGAGGCATAAGTGAAAATCAATGGTGGCGGAAGAGGGTACGCACCCTGGCGTCGTGGTGAACCCAGGCGCGAAGTTTTGGATGTGGACGGCAGACGAGTCCACTGAGAGCGGCATTTTGGGTCAGAGAGATCGGAGAGGACAAGATCAGCCACAGGCGCTTCGAGATTCTGAAAAGTCGCCGGCAACTTCCGGCAGCCCTCACCTCTTTCACGCACGCCAACACCAACACCCAAAATGCCTTCCGAAGACACGAAGGTATTACACTAAACTAGACATGTCCCTGATTTTGTTTTCTGATGGTATTTCTCCTCTCAGGAAAGAATCATCAAGGCCGTCGAGCTTGGACGTGTACGTGCTATCCTGCTGCCTTCATGACCGCAGCTGACGCGGGTGTCCTTTATTCAGACCGTGCTCCACTATGGCTGGATTCCCTTCATTATCTACATTGGCTACACGAAGAGCAACCCTCAGCCATCCCTGATCAAGTGCGTAGAGAGCCCATGGGCTGTCTTTACACTCCAGCTGACCCACGTCACAGGTTGATCAGCCCTCTTGCATGATGACGCTATCCTATGTCTGTATAATACTTGACTGCGAAAACCCGCTTCTTTCATAACTATTCTGTGCTTTATGTGCTTGAGAACTACTTGACAAGCGACTGGTGGCCGGAGTGAACGAGAGGCTACTAGTGAGTACTATGCCCTTAGGCGTTTCTTCATGATTTTACATGTCGTGGTGGTGCCGCTCTCGCGGTGCTCCGATACGCTCATACTCGTATGAGCTGTCCCTCCATTGTAACTGTCTCAAGGACTGGTTTAAATGGTCGGCGGTGACGAATCGACAAGGCCAGATATGAGCATTCCATTATTCGATTGGTTGCATGTAGGTGTATCTGACGATCTTCAATTATAGATCTGCAGATCGTACTTACTGCGGCCAGAGATCAATTAATCATGTCATAGAGTTTAATTCAATGGGAGCAGACATGAAATAACTATCATCATAGTATACTGAAGCTCACAGGTAGACCCTGCGTAAGTCTGCAGCAGCTGTAATCCTCTTACAGATAGGGCACAGTTTTGTGGATCCTAAGCAACGAAGCCAGCATTCACGACAGCAAGTATGCCAACACCCTGTCGAAACGGTGGGCTCTGTGTATGGGTCAAGACATATACGGCACAACAGTGACGTGGACGACGAAATCCGTGTTGAAACCTACCGGAGTCAGACATTTGAAAACAGACGTTTGAAAATAAACTCACTAGTAAGCTGATCTTTGCTTCTAGAGCGTCGATCAGCGCGGCTTTATCGCCGTATCTGCGTGCTTTCTGGACCGTGCGCTCAACCTCTTCCGTCTCGCCAACTCCCATGACCTCGTCCATAGTGCGTTTCACATCTTCCACTGTACTCACTCTTCGTCGCACTACTTTACCCTCGGCTACCAGGCTTGACAAGGATGTTGCGTCGTCACCATTCACTTTAGGCTCATGTGTATGCCCATCAGGGGTGCCAGTGGCATCGCCATTCACGTCGTCAGCTTCCGCATCCTGTTCGCGGGATTCCGTCGCAAGAGGAATGACGTCCGTTTCTGAAAACTGCGCAGCACCAAATACCGCATCATCTTCTCCGTCAATATCTACGTCGTCGTCGATATCTCGCTGACTGCGATCTCGAATATCAAAACCTGTCCCTGGAGGTTATACAGCGATAAGAACCCTTTGAAGCCAGCAAATGTGCGGCATACCTCTGAAGCTGACGCCTGCGGTAACGCTCTCAATCATATCCCCTTCCACATCTACGTCCAAGTCATCATCCGTCTGCGGGCACCTACCGGCACCTCTCTGCTGTTGTCCCTCTGTGATCTTCGCGTGTGCCAGGCAAGAGTCAACATGAGCCTCGACGACATCTACATCTCCAGGAACGACCTTTCCGCACACCGGACACGTCGTCCCGTTTCTTACTTCGCCTCTACTACCCCACCATTCAGGACCATCGTCTTCCTCCCGGGTCAACTCGCGGAGCCTCGCGTGTCGCTGTTTGCGGTGACTCCGTAAAGTACGAATGGTCTTGGCAATATGCTCGACGGTCACTTTGGAGGAGGATGCGAAGGATGTATTCGACTGCGAAAGACCTGAGCCCCGTCTACTCGACCGCCGTGAACGCGAGGTGAGTCTGCCCGCGCAAGGATGAAGAGTGAGCCATTGAAGTTCGCGCGCGAGGGGAGGGACGCACCCGTCATCTGGTTCCGCGTCAGCAAGCACCTCCACAGACCCAACCTGTTTCATGATCTCCTCTACTCGGGCCATCTCCAGGTCGGAGTGCTTGGCTAGTAGTCGGACAGGTATGGCCTCCCCACACACAGGACATGTCCTCGTCTCTGCGCGTTTCTCTGCTCGGCCGCAATCGTTAGTATCGGCTGGGCAACTAGTTGGAAGACCTACGCTTCTTCAAGGGTGCTTGCACGGATGTAGGGGAAGGGGAAGGCGACCGACGGCTAGACGTTGTAGACGCGCTTACATCACTCGGTCGAGCCTCGCTAGGCATTGCCTCCAACGCTCTCTTCTTCCCTCTGGCAAATCCATGTTGTTCAGCCTCTTGCCGACTTGGACCGTGCATCAGTACACGCGCAGGAATGGGACGCACCTTGCGGCCCTGGAGAGCGCCATGGGGGAGAGCGGTGTGGCAGGGTGCGTATTTTGCGATTTGCGATTTATGCGACGCCCTTGCGAGAGCGCGTCGGGCACAGGGCGGGGTGGATTGCGCCGGGATGCTTTGGATGGAACAGGCGGCGGGCGCCTGACGTCTGCGGAGGTGAGCGCGTCGCGCATCACGTGCTGAGGGAGTCCGCCTGATTCGGGAAGTTGAGGAGGCGACCAACTCAGCAAGCCAACTTCGACGTCTCCTTGCTTCCCCTCATCCCAGCAAGGATGTGAGACTCCGCCCTGAAGGCATACATTCTGCCAAAACATTAACTGCGTTGATGGTCGATTTATCCGCCCCCGTTTCTCGCGGTAGCGGCCCGTCAGCACTCGACACATGACTGCGATGCAGCACCAGTGTGTGCTTCCTCGGCCTTCATGTATAAACCCCAGGTAAGTGCGGTGGTAATTCGTCTCTCCCCACAGGCATGATCTCCCTCTTTGCGATAATCTGCGCCATTGCGCCTGCCGCCCTTGCTCTGACCTACAGAGCCGCGGACATTTCCTCGCTCTTGGTCGTGGAAGAGGCAGGCGTCGTGTACTCCGACAATGGTAATATCCTTCCGTTCGAAGACATCTTAACGCAGAATGGCATGAACACCGCGCGGATACGCGTGTGGACAGCTGGACAGTACGACCTGGACTACGGTCTAGCACTTGCCAAGAGGGTCAAGGCGGCCGGAATGACACTTCACATTGACCTCCATTACAGTGATACATGTAAGTCTGCCATGAATTTCACGGATACACGCTGCTAACACAGCGGTGAAAGGGGCGGACCCAGGTCACCAAGCTATCCCTTCGGGCTGGCCTACGAACCTGACGGGATTGACCTCTGAGATTTACTCGTAAGTTAGAGCTCATCAAGGCTTGCAGTTCCCGGAGGTGAAGCACAAAAATGGTACAGATACACCCAGAATATTGTACAGAGTTTTGCTGCCCAAGGCACTCCCATCGACATTCTACAGGTCTGTCACTTGCCTTCTACAATCGGATAAACGGCTCACGGCGTGTTAGGTGGGCAACGAGATTAATAATGGTCTGCTATGGCCCGTCGGCGAGATTTCGGTCAACGGCTTTGCTCCAGTATCCCAGCTCCTTCACTCAGCTATTCAGGGCGCTTTATCTGTCGGTTCGCCCACGATTCTGATTCACATCGCGAACGGGTGGGATTGGGCTGGTGTGGAGTACTTCTTCGGCGGCGTATTCATGCCGGGTGCCCTCTCACTCTCTGAGGTGGACATCATGGGTCTGTCGTTCTATCCGTTTTACGGTACCAACGCGACGCTGTCCAACCTACAATCATCTCTCACGAACCTCGTGAATGAGTTCGGGAAGGAGGTGGTGATTGCGGAGACAGACTGGCCTGTGACGTGCCCGAATGTGACTCTGAGCGAGCCGACGATCCCTGTGTCGGCGATAGGCCAGGAAGTCTGGACGAGTGACATCAGAGACGTGCTGCTTAGCCTTCCGGGCAGCCTGGGACAGGGAATCTGTAAGCCTTTGCTTCATCTTGTCGGCCATTGCGGACCTGATTCGATTCCGACTCCAGACTATTGGGAACCTGGTTGGATTGGAAATGCGGCTTTAGGCTCGTCGTGCCCGGTAAGCAGGCCTCGCTTAGTGCGGGTCAGCAACTGACCCTAAGTGTGATCATGTCGGCTTCTAGGACAATTTGCTTGTATCTCCGTCCGGTGATGCCAGGCCCTCGATTGCGATCTTTGAGACGGATATGTGAATGAGGAGGCTGTCGAGGAGCGGGTTGATGGTGTGGGTAGTTAAAACATGATTGAACATCGTTTCGTAAACTTAATTGTGTGCGGGGTAACAATCATGGCCGCGATTTCCGTTTGAGAGACCGTTCACCGCTTCCTCCTGAACTTGCGAGTAGCTCGGCCGATCGAGTGGGATGCACCCTAGGGACGGAACCTGGGCGGACTCCCTGAGGAGGCAGCGCCCATCGGCCGAGGATTTGCCGCTTAAGATCGAGTTGAGATCGCCCGAAAACGGGTTGTCGACCTCCTCAAGGTCTCCCATATATCTCCTCTCTACGACTGCTCGCAGGCCATACATCAGGCCCTGTAGCGACAGTTCACACCCGCACATCCATGCGGCTCACCAACTTCCGACCGTACCTCTCTATCTCCGCTCAGCGCCGACTCACTGCTCTATCAAATCTCCGTGCTGCTCGTTCTGCCGTGCTCAGATCCACACTCCATAGAAGACGCCTTAATTCGACATTCGCAGGAGACGCTGCTGTAGGACGGACTGGATTGGACGAGCGTGAGGCATCGGTCTTGCAGACCAGCTTCTCGCCCCACTCGTCGTCGGAGCTAGGTGAGATTCTCGAGTTCTCCCACCAAAATTCCCTTCTAACCCGAACGTCATCGGTGACATAGTCACCTCGACACCTCTACAGCGATACCATAGACTGGTAGAGTCCGGTGTGCTGCGCTATGACGACCATCAGGAGCGCATCATCGGCAAGCTGCAGAGGCTGCACGACGAAGTGGCCAAGTACAACCCCCCGAACGTTCCACCGGCATCGCCCACGCATTCTCGCTCGTCTCTCGTTCGTCAGCCCTTCCGAAACAAATCCCCAGTGTATCTGACTGCAGTCTGTGGCTATAGATCTCGCGCCTCTTTGCTCGCCAGGATACCCAAGATCATGGTGCGATACCCCTAGAGCAAGTTCCCAAGGGCTTATACCTCTTCGGAGACGTTGGAACGGGAAAGACGATGCTCATGGACCTTTTTTACGAGACACTTCCCTCGCACATCAAGCGCAAGCGCCGCGTCCACTTTCACGCATTCATGATTGATGTCCACAAGCGTATCCATGCCATGAAGGCGCAGCTTGGTACAGACGGAGGGGATCCGATTGCCCCTGTCGCGCGCGATTTAGCGAACAGCGCATACATTCTATGCTTCGACGAATTCCAGGTGTGGATTCGCGCGCAGCTTGTCCCTAGAGTTCGAAGACGCTCACATTTGATCAAAGGTCACTGATATTGCAGACGCCATGATTCTGCGACAGTTATTTGAACGTCTGATGAGCCACGGAGTCGTCTGTGTCATTACTTCCAAGTAAGTGTACACATCAAATCTATGGCCACCCGTTCGTTTATGTCTCCTCAGTCGCCATCCAGATGAATTATACAAGAACGGCATCCAGCGCTCAAGTTTCGTACCCTGTATCGAGCTGCTCAAGACTCGCTTTGACGTAACTGACCTAGACTCTGGGACAGGCGAGTGCTAGTGTTCGTCTGACCCATATTCGTCATGCACTTACAGCGTCGCGTTCAGATTATCGACGGATACCCCGTACACTATCTCACGTGTACTACGACCCCCTTACCCAGGAGAACATCGCGGAAGTGGAGAAGGTATTCCGCGCACTGACTTCCGACCCTTCCGACCCCGTGGTGCCCAATCGCCAGCTGGAGACATGGGGTCGTATGATTTCCGTGCCAGAGAGCAGCAGGACCGTTGCGAAGTTCCAATTCGATCAGCTGTGTGGGACACCATTGAGCGCAGCCGACTATCTAGAGATCACGAAGCACTTCAGGACTATCTTTATTACCGATGTACCGAAGATGGGGATGAATCAGAAGGATATGGTAAGCATCCACCATTTTCCGCTTGCACCCACTTCACTGTTTTACCCAGGCGCGGAGATTTATCACGTTTATTGATGGTTAGTGATGTTCTCCAAATTGCATGTGGGCTTGTGCTGACTGGCTCAACTCTAGCGTGTTATGAGAGTAAGGTAGATAGTAATGGCTCGCGCATAGTTCCTTGCTGATGCATGATCGCCAGACGAAAATCTTCATTACATCAGAAGTTCCCATTGGCCAAATATTCGAGGGGGATGTTGGCAAGTCTAACGCCGGCGTTTCGGACCAGATGAGGCAGATGATGGACGACCTAGTAAGTGGCCACGGTGGTTGGAGGCATACCAGGCATGCTTATCATGTGTCGTAGGGTCTTCCCAGCGACATGGTGATCTCTAGCTCGATGTTCACTGGTGACGAAGAGCTATTCGCGTTTGCGCGGTGTTGTTCTCGACTGGTCCAGATGGGTAGTAAGGAGTGGGCGGAGATGGCTGCAACGCCATAGCGCTTGGATCGAAGACCAGATTGTTCTTGTTTACTGGGAGATATTTAAACGCTATATGTAGTATGTTGATTATCATAATTGCTCTCGTTAGACGCTGCGGACCCAGTGTCGCTCATATCGCACTCATCTCTGGTCTCGTACCCAAACGTGTCGAACTCATCTCCTCCCATCATGACCGATCCCGCAGGCACCCAGCCACCTGAGCCATTCCGGCCCGCTCTGCTTATCATCGACGTCCAGGAGGACTTCTGCCCGCCGGTACACATCTCATCACCACTACCGTGACTGGTCTAATCTCCCACACAGCACGGCGCGCTCGCGGTCCCCGACGGGCGCGCCGTCGTGCCCGTGGCGAACGCGCTGCTCGCGCTGCCCTTCGTGTACAAGATCGCGACGAAGGACCACCACCCGCCGGGGCACGTCAGCTTCGCGTCAAGCCACGCGGGCGCGGCGCCGTTCGCGTCGAGCACGACGATCGCGAACCCCGCGAACGCGGCGGAGACGTACGAGACGCGGCTGTGGCCGGAGCACTGCGTCGCGGGCACGCCGGGGAACGCGCTCGCGCGCGAGCTGGACGCGGCGCGCGTCGAGCACGTCGTGCTCAAGGGGCTCGACCCCCGCGTGGAGATGTACTCGGCGTTCCGCAGCCCGCTGCGCGACCCGCCGCTGCCGAGCGCGACGAGCGAGTTGGCGTACATCCTGCGCGCGCGGGGAGTGACGGACGTGTTTGTAGTGGGATTAGCGGGGGACTATTGTGTGTTTTGGAGCGCGAGCGACTGTGCGGAGGACGGATGGAGGACATATGTGGTCGAGGAGGGCGTGCGGAGCGTAGGAGGACAGGAGGGCTGGGAGAAAGCGAAGAGAGAGCTGGAGGGCAAGGGCGTCCGCATCGTCTCGGCAGATGGGGAGGAAATTGAGTGGGTAAGGAACCTGGCTGCTTAAAAAGTCGAGGGCGGCACACTCCGTCTCCCAGATCTATGTTTCCATTGTGCGCGAATCACTGTACACACATACCGAACCAATGGGCTACTGTATACAATTTGTTTTACTTCAAGGGTGCTGTGTGCGCATCCAACTACAGGACCATCATCTCCATATATTTCAGTAGATAAGATGAACGGAAATAAAGCGCATAAGAATATGAATATCCTGACCTAGATTCCACTCTCCCAGGTTATGCAGGGTCTAGCGTTTGTCGAGATTCGAGACCACGAGCTCGCGGCCTCTCTTTACCACTTGTTCAGTCCCCGAATGTCGGTACTCGTTGGTCGTCCCAGGATCATCTCGCTCACCACGAGGCCTGTCCCCAAACTCAGGCTGATTCCCCATGGCCCATGGCCCGTCGCCAAAAACACACCGCCACCCACGCCAGGACCGCCAGCCTTCGGAGCAATGCCCCCGCCCAGGTCCTTCTCCGACATCTGAACGATCATCGGCTTTCCCGACGGCGAGATGGGGCGGAAGCACAGCCCCGACTCGACGAGCTCAATATCTTCGCCAATCAGCTCTTGCGCGAGCGCAACGAGCCGCGCGACAGACTCCGGGGCGACCTTCGCGTCCGACGCGCGGGCGGGGAGGGGTGCCACCGCAGTGTTCAGCCCGCCAATCCAGATCTCCCCGCCAGCGCGCGCGTACACCTCCGGCGAGAAGCCACTAGGGTCCGACGTGTAGATCGCGTGGCACGGCACGGACGCAGCGTCGGGTGTGTCGGGGGGAGGGGGCTGCCACGCCCGTGTGCGCACGACGATCGAATGCCCGCCGAGGCGCTGCACGGCAGGCACGCGTGGGGCATGGGGAAAGAGGGTGCTGAAGACGTCGGGAGTCCAGCACCCTGCGGCAAGGACAAGACTGTCACAGAGGACGTCGAGCGTTCCGCGACGCAGCTCGCGCCCGGTGCTCGTCGTCGCCAGAAGATGTAGTCGGATGAGCGTCCGCGAGTCCGGGTCGCTGGGGTCGGCGTGAACAAGCTCTGCTGCACGTGCGGGGTGATGGAGGTGCACGCCCATCGAAAGACATTTCTCCAGTAGAAATTCGCAGAGTTGATGTGGGTTTCTGCGGGGCATCAGTACCGACCACAGGCGAGAGTGGAGAACGTGTGATGGAAAAGACGACTTACATCTGGCTAGTTGTCGTCCTGTCTGAGATGGCCTGGGCAGCGTGCGATGGGGTGGTGAGCCAGTACGGACTCTCGAGCCTGGCTTGCTCGGCGGTCGCTGCCACCGCTGCGTCGGCTGCTGCATCGGCCTCTGCCTCTGCCTCTGCCTCCGCGGTGGCCTGCGCCGCCGCTTCCGCTGCAGCCTGAGCCTCTGCCGCCACCTCGGCCGCCGCCAGCGCGTCCGCCGTGCGCTGTTCGACGACAGGGACTCTGCTCAACCCAAACAGCGCGTCGCCATCCTCGTCGTCTAGAACGATGCGCCGAGTTGTGTCGACCTCTTCCTGGCCACCCCGATGCGCCTCCACGCGACGGAGCAGGGCCCTGGGCAATATCTCTAGCTCCGAGTCCGGGAGCGACGCCGGGTCCGGGGACAGCGGCGGCTCCGAGTCGAGGTCGGACCCGCCCGCGCCGTCACCGTCGCCATCGTCGTCGTCCATCGCGCCGAGGTCGATGTCCGGGTCGCCGTCCGAGTCCGTGGTGACGATGCTGGCATTGCGGTCGAGCGAGTACGAGACGGTCTCGCTCCAGCCCCAGAGTGCGCGGCCGGTGTGTGCTTGTGCGAGCTCGCGGTGGAGGCGGAAGGAGAGTGCGCCGAGGGGGGCGAGGGCAGGGTTGAACCAGTCCTCCGCGAGGAAGCCGCCCGCGTGGCCGGACGCGGAGGCGAAGAGCTCGGGGCAGGGCTCGACAAGGTGGACGTCGTGGTGGCCGGATGCGCCGGGGTCGGTGTCGTGGGTAAGCGTGGCGAGGTAGTAGGCGGTGGCGAGCCCGACGATGCCGCCGCCGAGGATGACGGTGGAGGGCATCGCTGGTGGTGTGCAGACGACGACGACGACGACGACGTCCACGACTCGACCGTCGCTCGGCGGAGGCTTACCGACGCCCATTGGCTGAGTCAGACGCATTCCGTATGCAATCGGCCATATGTGGCACATGCCCGAACCAGATCCGATCTCCCGTTCAAAGTCGCACTCGCATTCACTCTGCATTTTAGTAAAGTCACGAAAAACGCATGTTATGATGTCTACCTTTGATGAATACTAGTTCTACGTGATACCACAATAAATGAGCCAACCACAAAATCGCAGAAAATTGGAACTCGCGCTCAGCCTAGCTCACAGTTGATCTCCGCGCGCGCTCCGGAACGTGGAAGCGCTCGTAGTGGTGGCACTTAGAACCCATCAAGCTGCTGGCTGCATGCACTACGATGCCGGCAACGACTGGCATCCTAGTTTCAAAGAAGAAGAAGTCCAAACCGTCAGCGGGCCTCACCAAGGTGGCATGACCGGGGGCAGAGTCCAGGTTGAGCCGGAGTTTCCAATCCTCCAGCGTTTCTCTGATCGTGGCTGATCGTCCAAGTGCGGAGGCAGATGCGTCTCGAGTCGCTGCCCGTGCATGCGCCGACGCGAGGCCAATGCGAGTCTGATGCCACCATTGTCTCAACAAGCCCCAAGGGCCTCTTTAAATTCAGCCACCAGCGGCGTGTGGAAGCCACCTTCAGCACTACCCACACTCCGACTGCGGTTGTTCAACAAGCTGGCAATCAACCCTCAGGCTGCGCAGAGAGACTCAGTGGGATGATGGACCAGGAGGCCACTCAGGCTACGCTAGGTCTGCCCGAGTTCACAAGTCGATGACAACAGTCTGCAGTTGTGCTTGATTGATACAAAATGACAATATCGTACAATGCCTACGGCCTTCTTCCTTCAAATTCCCGTCAAGCTCTTCCCGTGAGTGTCTACGGTGAAGCTCCCCTTCGCAAAGTTGGCAACTCCGGTGCCCGCCGTATAGCCTTTGCCCGACTGCTCTGCGCCCTTCTTCAGGATCTGTTCAACGACGTCCACGTCTTTATGGGATCCAAATTCGTTGTCGAGCTGTTGTCGTGATGGTGCGCCGAGGATTCCCTGTGCTCCTTGGTTGGAGAAGAAGATCTGGAAAGCTGGTGGTGCCGCGGGCACGCTGATCGGTACAGGTATATGGAATGCAAGTGTGGCACGTACAATCTACGACTTCGGAAAGTGGAATGGTCCTGCGAATATTCACATCACCAGTTAGTGCCACGGGCAGGACGTTGGACGCGGAGGCAAATTTACGTGTCTGCCGTAGAGTGGCGTTAGCTGACGACGGTGTATGTTCGAGGGCAGAAAAGTGCGTACCTCCTTCTTTCCATTTCTTGTACTGCAGCGGATGCCAATCAATACCATCGCGAAATACATAGGCTGCATGTCTAACCGACCTCTGCAGGGTTTACAATGACGGTGTACTCGTCGGTGGATTGGCTGTCGGGCTTGTAGACGACCTTTGTCAATGAGCGGACCATGGTAGGGAGATGCGGTGATTATGCGTAGATACAGAGGGATGCGAATGCTACGTCGAGGACGATGAGAGCGAGTTGGATGTGTCGAGATCGATGGTGCGTGCTCGGGGGTATATGAGGATACGCAGCCCCGTGACGTCATCTGGCCAGGGAGCCGCGTGACATCATCAGGTGGCCTAACACGAGCGATTCCTAAATTCGACCTGTAAATCGTTTTATTGCCACAGACGTCGCCATGCCTCATCGTTCCAACTCCCGAGTCGATAGTATACTAAAAACTACAACGAGATTGTTGTCTTACTGCCTGATCTAATACATGATCCGCAAACATTAAGGAAACAAACAATGCTACTACTAGGATTCATCGAAATGAACGTACAGCTAACGCCTGTTCGGATCATAACACATGTGCCACGACTCCCCGTGTGCGAATCGACTCAGATCCAGCTGTAGACCGTCATTGGGGATAACCAAAGTGTTTCCAGGAACATACATTCGTGACCGGTCCACGAATTCCATGGGAATCTTGAACAGAAGCCGGCCACCAGGCCCAGTAACCCAGCCATCCGGATCGGGGAGAAATGATTCTGGAGAATGAGAAATGTCTATAAACAAAGTCGATGATTGCAGAGCATGTGTCGGATTCGATGAAAAATATATTGAGTCATACCGTAAATGTCTCAATTCTGCAGGCAGATCATCGTCTGTACTGTTTGGGACTGACCGTGATGCGTTGAGCAAAGTCCACATTCAGTTATAATTGACGACAAACATACCACTGTCCATGTCCCACATGCGGACTGTACCGTCCTCCGAGCCTGACACGATTCGTCGACCATCTTGCGAGATTGTCACAGATGTGACTGAGCCTGTATGGCCACAGAGAGTGGAACCAATTTGCAGCCCGATGGTTGTATCCCACACACGGACTGTACGGTCTCGCGACCCAGACACGATTCGCTGCATGTCTTTCGAGATTGCTACAGATGTGACCGCGTCTATATGGCCTTGGAGAGTGGAACAAATTTGCAGCCCGGTGTCTGCATCCCACACACGGACTGTCCCATCCCACGAGCCACACGCGATCCGTCGCCCGTCTAGCGAGATTGCCATAGATGCAACCGAGCCTGTGTAGTCTTGAAGAGTGGAACAAGCTTGCAGCCCGGTGTCTGCATCCCACACATAGACTGTACAGTCCCACGAGCCCGACACGATTCGCTGCCCGTCTTGCGAGATTGCCACAGATGCGACCGAGCCCCTATGGCCTTGGAGAGTGGAACCAATCTGCTTCCCGGTGTCTGCATTCCACACACGGATTGTACCGTCCCGCGAGCTAGACACAATTCGCCGTCCGTCTTGCGAGATTGCCACAGATGTGACCGAACTTGTGTGTCCACGGAGAGTGAAACCGGTGTGTGCATCCCAAACACAGACTGTACCATCCTCCGAGCCAGACACGATTCGCTGCCCGTCTTGAGAGATTGCCAAAAATGTGACCGAGCTCGTATGGCCACGGAAGGTGGAACCAATTTGCAGCCTAGTGTCTGCATCCCACATACAGACTGTATGGTCCCGCGAGCCAGATACGATTCGCCGCCCATCTTGCGAGATTGTTACAGATGTGACCGAGTCTGTACGGCCTTGGAAGGTGGAACAAATGGAACAAGTATGTAACCTAGTGCCTGCATCCCACACACAGACTGTATGGTCCCGCGATCCAGACACGATTCGCCGCCCATCTTGCGAGATTGTTACAGATGTGACGGGCCCTGTATGGCCTTGGAGAGTAGTACCAATTTCCAGTCCGGTGTCTGTATCCCACACACAGACTGTACCGTCCAACAAGCCACACGCGATTCGTCGCCCGTCTAGCGAGATTGCCATAGATGCGATCAAGCCTGTATGACCTTGGAGAGTGAAATAATGTTGCAGCTCTATGACTGCTTCACACACACAGACTGTACCGTCATCTGACCCAGACACAATTCGCCGTCCGTCTTGCGAGATTGCCACAGATGTGACCATGTCTCTATGGCCCTGGAGAATGGTGCCAATTTGCAGCCTAGTATCCACATCCCACATACGAACTGTACGGTCTCGCGAGCCAGATACGATTCGCCGTCCGTCTGGTGAGATTGCCACAGTTGTGACCGCGTTTGTATGGCCTTGGAGGCTGAAACCAATTTGCAGCCCAGTGTCCGCATCCCACACACCGACTGTACCGTCCCGCGAGCCAGATACGATTCGCCGCTCGTCTTGCGAGATCACCACAGATGTAACTTCGTCTCCATGGCCTTGGAAAGTGGAACAAATTTGACGCCCGGTGTCTGCGTCCCACACACGGACTGTACCGTCCCACGAGCCAGACACGATTCGCCGCCCGTCTTGCGAGATGGTCACAGATGTGATCGAGCCTGTACAGTCCCGGAGAGTGGAACCAACTTGCAACCCAGTGTCTGCATCCCACACACGGACTGTGCCATCGCTTGAGCCGGACACAATCTTCCGTCCATCCGGAGAGATTGCGGTACAGCTTGCATTGTAGTGAATTATTTTCTGTAAAGATGGCCATGTAGAACGACTCCCAGCAGCAATCGTAACAGCACCGGGAAACATGGTTGTGAACGTCTGAAAAATCCACGATGATGTTGGCGCAAATGGTAGAGCAGACAGGTACAGGTGTGGTGTACTCCGTAGCATGGTCGACGCAAACATTTGAACAAATCGATTGGTGTCCATAATCGCCTTCCTGAGCCAGATATTGTTATCGCTGTCACTCTCCTGTATAGGGTTGGGGATATTATTTTCAGTTAAATATAATATTCGGGGCACCACGTACCACAAAACATGACATCACTGAAGACAAACCTGCAACCACACCAGTGAGGTGATTCGTAAGACTCAAGGTCTCGAGCCAGAATAGTAAATTTTTATTTGAGAAGAGGAGCTCCACCTCTTTAGAAAGCGAATCTGAACAGTACACAGCCTTAGCATAGTGAACGGCCCAAAATCGGCACGAATATTGCAGTTGTGGGGAAATGTACTCTTCTATGCGGTTTTGTATGTCGACAACGGCTGAATTTGGAAGATACGAACTCTCCAGCTGGCAAATGTTAAAGCGGAGCTCAGCCTTCATCACATGGAATGACGCGAAAGCCAGCTTGTAATGATACGCTGCGTCAGCATCAATGTAAAACTCCCCGCTCCGGTCCTTGGCCATGAGAAAGTCGTAAAAGGATGCGTGGAGTGGCCGAATTGGCGTTCGATCATCTTCAACGCCAATGAGGAGTGCACCCATAAGGCGAAGAACGGGCTCCATCTCAGGGTCGTGCTCTTGGTCGGTATCATCCTCACGTGGAAAATGCTCCCGCATTGCGACAAGAGCAGTCATCGACAGCGGCTCCAGTGAAGTTAGAATGTGACCCATGACAGAGCAAAAGATCGGGAGAACGTGCTTGCGCTGCTTCTTCGGCATCACTTCCTTCAAGACGTGCTTGTACATTTGATCCAGCAGCCCTATACCACTGACCGATCCTACAGAGACTACATTATCGAAGCGAAATCTAGCTTTTGGGCCGATCGAGTTTCTGTCCTTGATATGGAAGCATGCGAGACGCGCCCATTCAAAAACGCCATTAGACTTGAGAGCAAGTGCTTGGAAGTCATTATCCTGAAATATCCTTAGCGGCGTGAGCTGCGCGGCGATATAAAGCTTAACATCATCGTGCTCGGACCATGATGGAGGGATATTATCCAGAGATAAACGCTCAATGTGGTGCAAACCATCTAGAGCATCTTGAATATCCGGAAGCGGGCGAGATGTGACAAGAATCCGGATATTCGACGGGAGCTTGGCCATAAACTGCGACATCATACCGCTTTCACCAGCAAACATGCGAAGAATTTGCGCACGAGTACCGGTTTCGCCGCTTTCATCTAGCGCATCGATGATAATTAATACTGGCACTAAAATCTTCGCCGTCCCCACATTTCTTAAGACTGAAACGAGCCTCTCCCACTGTCGGGTGGGATCCTCGGTATATTTGATATCACTTGTGCCATGGATCACAACGCGAGCTAGCTCGCGCCGGATGAGAGGATCGTGGTCGGCCAAATCCCGCGCAATCGTGCTCCATATTTTCTCGTGTCGGCGGTCTGCATGTCGTGTTCTGTCAAAGCAGAAACAGGATCCCAGTGCGCCTTGTCTGTGGAATTGGCCAGCTATTGTATGTGCAATCGCGGACTTGCCCTTGCCCGCTGTACCCGACAACCAGAATATTTGCTTTGCGTCGTCTCCAGTGGCATATACAAAGTCCGTGATCTTAGAGAGAACCTTTATTCGAGTACCCGGAAGACATCGTTTGGATGTGTTGATTCCGGCTCCTGTTGCATAATCTAAGCTGCTCAAGTCCATTTCCTGGACTTCCTCGCCAACATCAGGATGGGCTTGACACAATTCCAAAATCAAACTTACCAATCCTATGGATTTGTATTGGGCCGTCATCGCCCCTCCGACTTGAACTATCAATACATTCGGACAACTCATTGAGGACAGCAATGAAATAGTCGATCTCTATGCGTGTCTCCCTGATAGTGTCCTTCCCAAGCCTCTTCCCTGTAAAATACTGTTAGAGAGACAGCCATTGCATCAGGAAGCTGATGTTCACTTACAGAACACTACTTTCTCTGAGTGGTACATAATGTAATCGACGCATTCCAGTATTTGCCGTGCAATCTTGTTCAAGAGTTCTTCCATTGCAGGGGTCACAATCGAGTTTTCTTTCTGACACAGCGCTTCATAAATACCAATGATCTTCACGAGCAGGTTGGAGACATATAGATCAAGCTGTTGGTTGCTGCTCTCGGTATGCTCAATGATCATCTAGTTGATATATTGATGGAGAAATCAGTCAGCATGTCATACAAAAAATGCACGAATAAACAACCTTGAACGCATACCCAAGAATCTTCAACGCTGCCGCTGCCGCGGTAGAAGGATGAGCCTAATGCAGGTGATCAGACGATCCGTAGCCGGAGGAGCACAGGCGATTCTACCTCGATATATCCATCAAAGGTAGAGTGGAACGTTGCCGCCAACTCTGCTAGCCATCTTGAATCCAGTGAGGTGTGTGCTTGTGGAGGGATCGTTGAATCGACCGCATGGACAGGGTACGGATGCTGAGCAATCTACCGCATAAGGGTGAGGTCATGAAGAACAGAGAAGACGTATTGATATACCTTCCAGATGCATCGATGATCCAATGGAGCATTTCTGAGTTCTACCTTTTACCGAAAAAGTGGAAATCAGGCTTGACAAAGTAGAATAATTCATGTTGAATGGAGGTGGCTCACCGGCGCATTGTTAGATCCACTGTCAAGATACCAACATAGATTTGTTTGATCATTATGTCGTATGCTGGGCATCTTGTTAGATCATATTTGGCCAATAGCAGGTGCAGTGGGCAGCGCACACGTAAGTATCTTGTCCGTGTTCCACATCCACTCTCTCAATAAACCACCAACATTTATCTTTAGCCCCTCCAACATCTTTGAACGGATACCGAGCAACGGCATAATGCTGGAACTTGAGGTGTCTGATTTGGTATCGATCGGCGGAAGTAGGAAAAAGTTCCCACTATGCCGCAACATGAGAATGGATATATTAAGCTTTCGGAATGAGCCTTGAAATGGTAACCGCACCAATTCAAGATCAGACATCTCGGGATCCGGAATGACGCAGTATAGAGGTTCTAGGTCGTTAGCATTGGGCAGTGTCGCCCGGTTCTGATACCGGACATTCTCAATTGTAACAATACGAGGAAGGCTGGAAGTCATGACGAATAGAGTCTTATGCAGGTCTGAATAGGGTTCAAAGCGCAATGTCTGGAGTTTGATCAGCTTCAGTTGGAGTACAACGGAGTTTTGTACGACGAACGCACAGAACATCGACCGTTCACGAGCTTCTGCTATAAGACATGCGGCAAGGGCGAGGCATCCGAAGCTAGGGGGAGGAGAGACAAGGCAGTGGTATCAATTCAAGCTTGCCTCGTGTGACTAAGTGCAGTCTGTCGAAGTAATTCTCGCGCGTCTCCGAGATGTCCACAAGATTCAGTGTAGGAGTCAACCCCCACTACCGAATTGCACCAGAATTCTGAGGATACAAGCTCTTACTCACCAAAGTGCAACCAGCCCTATGCGAAGGCAGTCTCAGCCAGCATCAAAACATTCAACAATGGGTTTACCAACATTTCTGGGGTCTATGTGGGAACCAAACCGGGGGACGTCAACGGTCGGCGACTCGGAGATGGCCGCACCCAACTTAATTGAACGTAAGGACGTAACACTTACGTGCCTACTGTCATGAACCAAGGTCCAGACAGTTTGGTGAAAACCACCTTCAACGAAGAAAACGCCAATTGAAGTACCAGACTTAGCTGCCGAGGCCAATGCTAGAAGACAGCGCAAACGACGTAGTGTTCGATTCGTTGGACTAAGACTGTTCTCTTTGTCAGTTGGCATAGCGATGAAGTGTGAAACCTTGACTTCCTGCAATTACCTACTCGCGATATTATGTATGAGCACGTACAGCACCACCAGTACGAATTGGATTCGACAGGAATCGAGAACTGACTGCGTTGAATCACTGGCGAGTGCCGCTCTCCCGCTCCTGCCAGGCCGCCCTCCTGGAGATGGTCCGCCGCGGCGCAGAGTTTCTGCACGTGATCGCGTAGGCCGAGATCTGAGATTTCGAAATCCTTGCAGGGCGCTTGTCCCCGCTCCCCGACTCTGCAGCGGCCATGTCCAAACGGCGGGTCACATACTACTATGACCGTGAGCATCTCTCTCTCCTCGTCCCCACATCAGACTCAGATCCCTTCATCCAGCCGACGTTGGGTCATACACCTACGGCTTTAGCCACATGATGAAGCCTCAGCGCATGCGACTTACGCACGAACTGGTTTCCGCATACAACATGCTCGACAAGATGCACGTCCTGGTATGTCTTTATTAGCTGTTGTATAGCGTCCTTGAATTATTTTTGATTAATTCCTGCTTCTCAGAGAGCGAATCGCGCCTCGGCCGAAACAATGACCCGCTTCCACACCGATGAATACGTCCAGTTTCTGTCGAGAGTCACACCAGAGACGCAGGAGGAGCTCACGTTCAACGGCTCGCGCTGTGCGCACCTAATTCCAAGCGTCTCTCGTACTGCACCGAACTGACGACCATTGGCAACCCTAGATCTCGTCCTAGGCGACGACAATCCCGCGTTCGAAGGTGTGTACGAGTTCTGCAGCATATCCGCAGGAGGTTCCATCGGTGAGTCCCACTCTTCATACACTAGTTAATGGAGGTGTCTGTAACGTAGCGCTGCCTCCCTAGCTGCTGCTCAACGCCTATCCTGCGGCGCCGCCGATATTACGATCAACTGGGCAGGCGGGCTGCACCATGCGAAAAAGCGCGAAGCATCCGGGTTCTGCTACATCAACGACATTGTACTATGCATATTGGAGCTGTTGCGTAGCTTCCCGCGCGTGCTGTACATCGACATCGACTGCCACCACGGCGACGGCGTTGAGGAAGCGTTCCTCACCACCGACCGCGTCATGACGTGCTCGTTCCACAAGTTTGGCGAGTACTTCCCCGGAACGGGCAGCCTGGAGGACCGCGGGCGCGGGAAAGGGCGGGGGTACGCAGTGAACGTACCCCTCAAGGACGGCATCACTGACGAGTCGTTCAAGAGCGTGTTCGAGCCGGTGAGTGTCCATTCGGGGTTACCCGAGCAATTCGGGCGCTTATGCTATTGTGAAGGTGATCGAAAAGATCCTTGAGGTGTTCCAGCCGTCTGCTATCGTCCTACAATGTGGCGCGGACTCGCTGGCCGGCGACCGGCTCGGTTGCTTTAACATCACCATGAAGGGGCATGCAAATTGCCTACAGTACGTCCGTGCCTGTAACATCCCTCTAGTTCTCCTTGGTGGTGGTGGGTATACGGTCAAGAATGTCGCGCGCGCATGGACGTATGAGACAGCGTGCGCGTTGGGCATTGAGAACGAAATCGATCCGAACTTGCCGTGGAACGAGTACTTCGAGTGGTTCGGGCCGCGTTATCGCCTGGAGGTGGTTGCAAACAACATGGACGACGTGAACATCCGAGACGGCTCGCTAGAAAAGGTCCGGTGGGTGGCCCTTACTTCTGCTAGCCAGCGATCAGTTCACATAGTAGCTGCATTGACTTCCTAGGGAAACAGTATTAAAAAATCTCTCCGAGCTACAGCCCGCACCCTCTGTCGGGATGCATGACGTGCCCGACGAGAGCCTCGGCCAACACCTTGGCTTCAGCAAAGACGATGACGACGGGCAGATGGATGAGCTCGATGAGCGATTAGCACGTACGTTTCCTTCCTCTCGCCACTTTCAGCTCTGACATTGCGCCCTTAGAACACACACGCTTTGTGTACAACCTCCAAGAATCGCTCGCGACCGAAGACGAGTCGGACGACGATGCGTCGCTCTCGGACGACTCGTACTCCAGCCGGCGTCGCGACTCGCGCGTTTCTCGGCGGCGCACGCGTGCGGGCGGGCGCAAGCGCATGAGCATCGTCACGAACCACTACCATGACGTGCCTCGCGCGGACGACGCGCTGCTCGACCTGTGCAATCTCCCCCCGCACATTGACGAACACCATAACGGGAAACGCGCGTCCGCGGCCGCGGCGTCCAGACGTCGCTTCTTCCAAAGTGCAGCGCGCTGGGACTCGCGGCTGGAGCGCGTGTTCGTGGACCGTGTGGAGTTGGCGCCGCCGGGGCTGAGTGTCGGGGATGTGATGTTGATGGGCGGGCGGCGTGATAGGGAATCGGAGGGTCCGGAGGAGGAGGTGGAGATGGATGATGATGAGATGGAGGAAGGATGAAAGGTGCATAGTGTATTTTTCTGTTGTATAGATATAATATTAGTGTATTTTTGGAACAGACTAATGTATCGTGATGTTTCTGCTCTTCTGTTCATGGGAATTCGACTCTCTGCCAGCTACTCATTGGGTCGGGTTTGATTTCAGCATAAGGACCGGTCAAAACCCCTTGCATGTTGTAATCATCCATCCATCTAAGTATGTCGGCTAATGTACATTGGATCCATAGGTATTATGCGAGTAGGTAATATAGTCCAGGTCCGTAGAATGCAGCCTCTAGTACAAAACCAACATAACAACGCTACCCCAGATTGCCAGGTAGAACCAGAGCCATAGTCGGGGTACAACAACGGGAAGAAGAGTCAAGCTCATGATGCAGCGAAGGAGGACCAATCAACTATCCTCTGGCCATATGCATGGGGCAAAGCCCTCTCGGATCCCTGGACACTGTCGGTGCCGACATCCGCAAGCGGGACGAGCGAAGGTCTGCTCCACGTCTATGAGTGTTTGGCCTATATTTACGATAAGATAACTAACTTGCCTCCCATGGGCACACTGAAAGGGCAAAGCCGTCTGAGCCAGCCTTTGCACCAGGCTCGTACACTGGTCCAAGGTCAGCGGGTCGTTGAACATTATTGCACCTAGACGGAACATATCAACGGGCGCGTGTTTAGCAGAATGGCTGAACACTGACCTCGACATGCCTTCGAATTGACCAACTCGAGGAGCTCGCGTGGACACCACCGCATCGCCTTTTGCCATTCCGCCCCCTCCTCACACGCGCTCGGGTCGCCTGACTTGAGCTGCGATGCCGACGGCATCGGCGCTCCCTCCGCGTCCAACTTAGCCAGGTAGCCTTTCACCAGATCTTTCAGCTCGTCGCCAGCTAGGAGCTGGTTGAGGATACCTCAGCTGAAACTGTCAGTGCAAGAGCTCGCACGAACTCACCTTGTCAGCGACAACTTCAGGGACGGTTCGAACGTGGACTTGGACATAGTCTCTCTGGCATCCACTGCCGTCATCCCCGACTTTGTCCGCAAACGGATCCGCGAAGGATTCCAGCGCCTCGTCGAGCCTTGTGAAGGCCAAGCCCCACAACTTGAACGCCACTTGTACGTCCCCCGCGGCCAGCTTTTCGACTTCGTGGCGCGTCAGGAGAACCGGGACAGGATGCACCAATTCCCTGACTGTGACCGATCGCTGTCCAGACAGGAGATCCGTCGTATCTCCGGCAGATGCGTGCGAAGGCGGGTACCCCTGTAGGAAACCAAGACAAAGTTCCTTGAGGAAACGTTCGACTCGGACACGCTCATCAGCCGCGTGCTGGTCGATCAGCACTAGCGCTTTCCCCTTGTCGCACTCGGCTGCGAGCATGCAGGCGATGAATTTTCTGTCGACTTGGCCCAGTATCTCCGCATCATGTAGAGCCGTCTTGTTGAACCGGCCAGGTCGAGTCGGAAAAGCACCCATATTCCACCAACCGTCTTGGTGTCGACCGCCACTGTCATACATACTCGCTCCTTTATGTGTGGACAATGCGCAATATGCTGAGGTATCGCAACATTGAGAACCGGCTAGTGCCAATCCAGCGGAAATAGCTAGTGATGGTATCCGCGGCTCCGGTAATTTGTATGTGCTGTTCGTCTATGAAAATCGAAAGATATTGAGAAAACTGGTATAGTGTCCTATCATTCGACATACCTCTAATGCTCTCCGGATCCACGCCGGCATCTCCTCTGTTTCCTGGGCATTAAAAGTTTTATTCCCTGAACCAGATGCGATCCCCAACGTGCGCCTGCGGAAAATTGGTGTATCACCACCAACGCCTGGCTTCATGTGCACGGGATATGAGTTCCCTGTACGCGCATCAACCACAAATGCCTCTCCAGTAGACGGGTCAGTCCAGATCGTCTGTTTGTTCGTGTCTTCGGCTGTAGGAACGCAGTTCTGGGAAGGCATGAGGTAAGTGTAATCCGTAAACTGCAACAAGCTTACAAGATCAGCCATAAGTGCCGTAGGTTCCGCTCCAGAAGGTTCATCCACCTTAATTACTCCAGAGGACGCTGAACTCAAGAAGCGACCATTTTCCTGTTCACTCGCTAAATCATGTAGGGTCTTTCTCTTCTTCCTGGATGATACTCTAGTGTCCCGAGATGTACTTTTATCATGCATGGAAGGAGGCGAACGAGCTCGCTTCGGGAAGAGGAACCCATTACGGATGAGAAATTTTTCAATTACGTTCCCCAGAAATTTCGAAGCTGCACCACTATTCTGACTCGGATATAAATGCGACGAAAGTACCATCCCACAAATCGTTAGCATACCTGGAGCTGGACAGAGGCCTTGGCTGGTTCAATGCAGTTGTCGACAAGTCTCGGAGGAACAGTGAGATTGAGAACGAACGCTGGTTTCTTCTCGCTTTTACGCGGGGAACGACGAAGGTCTGACTGAGAGGTCATTGAGAGAAACGCCACTTACGAAGAAGTACTTACTCAAACGTGGCTGGCTAGTTTCTCCCTCTTCATCGAAAGCCTATAGAAGATTTGAACGACAGTATCAGGTGAGCTCAAGGACATACTCACATGCTTCATGAAGGAGCTTTTGGAGAACTGAGCATCAATTAGGCGATGAAGATCGCACGGTGAAAGGATGTGTCGATTGATATCTTGCATGGATAATTAAGCATGATAAGCCACATCATTCATACAAATAGTCTAGTATCCCCACGTACAAAGAAATTGGTATGCCTAGAAATTTTGTAATAAATCCAAAAAGACTAGTCTATTATGATCTCCTCACTCACCTTTGACTGGGCCCCATCAAGGCTGATAAATCCGTGTAACCTCATTTGATCATCAGTCTCGTCAATTTCTTCAATATGCTTCGCATAGGTTAGTTGGACAAAGCTTAGCGAGACGAAAGTCCTCACCTGTGCTAAAGCCTTGCCATACAGATGGCGGAAGGTCGCGAGACTGGAAGACGTCTGATTGAAGCATTAGTACAAGGATTCTGCAACTAGGACCCGGCACTCACTCGGGGCACGGTCATGATCCGGCCCTTTCCAGGGTCCCCTTCCTTTGCCTTGTGTGAATTTTCAAATGTGAAGGAAACATTAGGAAACATTAAAGAGGATGTCTCCACATCTCTACGGATTAACTCAATTGTCCTAACAGGAGAAGGGTGGGAAAGCCTGCGAATGGGAAGCTTGCGCGGATCGTCGGTTCCCAATGAAACTGTGAGAACAGATTGACGTACATTATAGAAAGCATCGCGGACGAACACGACTGTACCGGGAGTATCTCTGCGCCATCGAACAGATGGACCATTATATAGGACGGCTCTTCCCTGATATGAGTAAGGACAACCAAATCAGATATATCAAGCCGATAGCACTGGGGGAACCGAAGCTACTTTTAGGATTACTGACCAACTTTCCCTGGATCTAGCCGTCCTGGACGAGATTTCTAGACATGAAAGATCTGCCGCGGAAGCTAAAGCTATGCATCTGTCAGTAATTTGATAGAAAGGCAAATGCTCGCAGGGATATTCCACCTTCACCACGAAACCCAAAGGTTGAGACCTGGTCTAATGACGCGGATGAATATGCTTTGGAAGTACCTATGCCAATAATTGTTCTGAGCTTTATGTTCAAAAAAATACACTCCGTAGTCAACGTACCATAACGTCCTGCCTCGGAACCTCCCGCAAGGACGTCGAAACTATCCCGTCCTATGCCGACGCCGTCGTCGCGCACCCAACACGCCCAATCCTCACAGTCCACGCCAATATCAATCTGCTTGGCCCCTGCATCGAGCGAGTTCTGCACGAGCTCAGAAATGATCTGGGGAAACGACGTGAGAATCTGAGTAGAGCGTAGCTTTGATTGTGTTTCGGAAGGAAGGGGATGGATCAAAGATGCGGAACCGGGTTTTGAATTGTTCATGGCTGCAGCATGTATTTTGGACCAGCGGTGGAGGCTTGTTTACAGCAATGAGCATTGAGTGATAACTAAACGAACGAACAAAGAATATACTAGAGTGCCAGTATTGACGTCTAGTACACCGTACTGTCCCAGTGAAGTCAACGGCTCCGGGTCTTTTGCCGAAGCGAAGGGGCCTTCCTCATTTAGTAATTTAGTAGGTAGTGCATTACTTGCTAGGATTTTCAGGCTTGGCCACGGCGTCCATCTCCTCCTACTATTCACTTTCCACTTTGCTATTTGTTCGCTATGGATCCCAATCTCGTCAGGGACATGATGGCCCAGTTGGGTCTCACATCTAGTGACTTCGATACGCTGCGTGGATTGACATCGTCGGCACCCAACGCGCCCCCAAGAATTCATCCAGGAATGGCCCCAGATGAACTTGATACAGCCATCCGAAACTACAAGAAATGGCACGAAAAAGATCGTCTGATTCCCCCAGAGCCCGCCCCACACATACCCGTTCAGATCCTCTTGTCCAACCATGCCTCCGCCCGCAGGACACAAGAGCAGGGCGAGGCATCCACGGAAGGAGTATATACTAGAATGACAATATCCGGTTTTCCCAAGCACTCGAGCACAGTTCCCCTGGAAGACTTACGATTGAGTATGCGGAGAATTGTCCCCTTGTAGCTCATCTAACTACTGTTGCAGTCACATTTGCTCAGATGCTTGTCAGAAATGTTCATAAAGTGAGTTTTTGAGACGCAGTCAAAGCTACTTACAATGATTTCCCAGGGCCGGTATTTGCTTTGTCGTACCATCGCCCCATTCGGTTCGTCTTCATGAGATAGCCATACCTGTTGCCTAATACGATCTCCCAGCGCGGATGTCAGCCATTCAAACCGTCATCGAGGACCCGGAGGGCATCGCAGGCGTCCTCTCCATCTATAATTTTCCGACTGCATTTCATTGCTCTACGAAACACCTCGATTCACTGTTTCCTATAGGTTCTATCTTCGCCATTCGCGAGCCGACATTCAAAATGCCCGCTCAAGGCACAGATCCAATTGTGCGAGTGGACTCCCCCACCGACATCCAGCTGATCGGGGCACATAGCACCATTCTCCACGATGTGAGTTGGCGGACGGGTTCGCGTGTGCCCCGATCACCTACGATGACGGATACTGTCGAAGGCTGGAAGAGTAAGGGCAATATTTATTTCAAAAACTCGCTCTGGTTTCCTGCGGCGGTTGCCTATTCACATGGTCTCGAACTGGACCCAAATGCTACCGTGCTGCGAGCTAATCGGGCGGAAGCGTATCTCCGAATGGGGTTCTACTCCGGAACACTCGTTGATGCACGGCGTGTATGTTCTGACCCTGGAGTATCTAATACTATCCGCGAAAAGGCACTCTACCGAGAAGCACGCGCTGAATACGCTAGAGGGGATTACGTGGAGGCAGAAAAACGTTTCAAAGAATGGCAACAGTTTCACCCCGAAGATAGCGATGTAAAAGAATGGATTGCCCGATCCCAAGCACGATCAAAGGAGAGACGAACAGGCGTATATAATTGGACGCGTTTGTTCGAAATGTCTAAGTCTGATGTCAACCTTGACGTCGCGGATTACCAAGGACCTATTGAAGTTAGCCGCTTTCAGCATCGTGGGGGCGGCCGAGGAATAGCTGCGACAAAAGATATCACTGTAGGGGAGCTATTGGTGTGTTTGTCTTTAATCAGCTATGGATTGTGTCTACATGCATATTTTTTAGCTTGTCTCGAAAGCATTCGTATCAATCTCTAGCGATGATCTCAAGAATGCGAAAGAGGTAATGGTATCTGTGGATCTCATCACTTCAAAAGCAAATACACCGACTCAAAGTGCTGTTGTCTCGTACGTCACGGAGAAGATTTACGGCAACCCGGATCTTCATGACCTCGTCTTTGGTCTTTACGCAGGTCAATATTATCCCCCTCCTCCTCCTTCGTATCCTCCAACGCTACCATGCGATCCCTTACCAGTGAATCCTCTGTCGCCAACAGTAAATATCGATATCGCTCAATTGGAGGCCATATGTGCGCATAACCAGTTCAATTCGATACCTTTGCATGCACAACCGTTGGGAGGTGTCGAGAAGGACAACATTGATTCATGGACAGGGTTCTACCTCCTTCCCGCGCTATTCAATCATTCATGCGTAGCCAACGCAACCTGGACGTGCATTGGTGATGTCATGGCCATCAGGGCCACTCAGCCAATCAAAGCAAGTGAAGAAGTTACGTTGCATTATACTACAGAATTGTCGTATGAGAAGCGCCGTCAGATGTTGCAGCAGCAGTATATGATCACCCTTTGTGACTGTTGGCTATGTAGGGATGATCGTGCAGACGGAAAGACGGCTCTCGCGAAACGAGAAGAATTGGTCGACCAGCTCCTCCAAGGCGGACTACGTCGAAGCCAACCGATTTCCAGTTTTCGTACATTCCAGAAAAATCTCTCCTCGACATATGCGGTGACGCGAGGCTCGGTTCGTCCCGCTATGTCATTAGCTCATCAAGCGACTGCCGCGAAGCTGAGCGATCGCAAGACTTTAACCGCATTCAAGCAGTATGTGGAGGAGACAATCAAAGCGCTAGCAACCTTAGGACTCGTGGTGTCGAATATGGAGACGACTCAGTCATCACAGACTCTAGAAGTCTCCGAGTTCTCCCGTCTCCCTCCTACAATCAGCTTTCATCAGCCTACCCTAATTATACTCCAATTGGTTCATGAATATTTGGATATCGACGACAGACTGAACGCTACAAGATGGCTTCGAGTTGCTAAATGGCGTAAGCAGATTATCTTCGTAAGCGAGCTCATATTAACGTCCTCCGCTAGTGGTTAACGCTGCCGTTGGTGGCGACAGCGAACTTTTCATGCTTATTACGGCTGACCTCTTAGACGAACTTTACCTACGGGAGTTTGCACGGAGCGTGCTCTAGAACAATGAATACTAGCACGATATTTGCTGGTGTCTCGAACAAGTCCAGCATGACTTGTCGTTTCCCATAACGGCGTATTCATATCCATCTACTCGAATCCATGGTTGTTTACACTCCTGGGCCAGGCAATCGAATATGCTTCTGAAAGCGCGAAATTCAAAATGCAAGGAAGGTATTTGAGCGGATGCAGTCGCAGTGTGTATTTTGTGCTCAAGTTAGAGTCATTTCTGTAATTTGGCCCAAGAATCCTTCGAATTAATAAGTGACCTGCAGCTGTCTTCGAGTCCCAGAGCATCTGCCCGTAGCGAAAGCCGTAACAGCCCAGGGGATTTTGCTTCATCGATTTCCGTCATCTTTCGCTTACCCGCTACCCTAATTCATCGTGGATCTAAGCTGTACGCTCAGTGAAATGACAGCTCAGCTTGGGATCGCACCCAGCGACCTCAAGGGGTTGCTCAATTTCTTAGCGTCTACCTTGCCGCTAAGGATCCGACGTTGTCCTTCGATGAGCTCCACGCAGCCATTCAGAATCACAAAATGTGGTTTAAAAGCCTTCGAGTGCAACTCCTCTGCAAGCTCTCAAACTAAGTATGTTGTATATTAACAATCTCTTGCATCTCTGGCTCATCCCATTCATTTCGCGGTAATTTCCCCGAGATGCTTGTAGGATCCGACACTATCCGTAACGAAGAACTTTGCAGAGAAGCACGAGGAGGATATTTCGGATGAATTATCTAGAGGTGGTGAGATGCTTCAGAGAATGGCAAAGTCACATCCAGATGATCGGGAGGTACCCGCTCAAACATTGCTGTGCGATCACGCCCACCATTGGAGAATACATGGTATAGTTGAGCGCATTGAAAAGTATGGAAAGCAAAGATGGCGACGACGCAAACGAAGTAACCTTGACTGGACATGCGAAGTATTCAAGCACAGCCGGCGTTGTGTCATATCAGGTGGCAAGTTCATATTCAAAAGGTATACATTGACTGATGTTTTGCTCACTCTCCAATGCTGATCTAGTCTTTCCCAGATGCTTCTTCGTAAGGTTTACAAGGCATGGTTCTTAACACAGAGAACATGCTTGGTGCTAATTGTTCACAGGATTGATTCTTTGTCGTCTGATTGCTGAGTCTGGTTTGAGAGATCTTGCTTTTGATCGCGCAGATTACCTAAAGACTTTCAGCGCGATTATCATGCGTCCAAACGGTCGTCGAGGACCCCGAAGGCGATTCATCTATTCTCACCATCTATGGCTTCCCAGCTGCCTCGGAATGTTCTGTGAAATATCTTGACGCCTTGTTCCCCGGCAGATAGGGTGCATCCTCACAATCCGCGAACCTGTTCTCAAATCAGCCGTGGGAGGCTCCAACCCGCTTCTTTGTGTTGATTCTCCCACCGACATCTATTTGGCCAGTAAACACATCCTCTGAGACATCGTTTAGAGGACAGTTCCTCAAGTACGCCGGTCGTCTGTCGTGAGAGACGATGCCGAGGCGTGGAAACACCAAGGCGACACTCACCTCAAGGACTCTCTGTAGCTCCCCGCTGTGAATGCATATTCTCACGAACTCGCGCGCAATTCTTAAGCTGTTGTACTTTGGGCTAATCGCGCTGGAGCCTATCTTCGATTGAATTTCTGTTCCGGAGCGCTTACTGATGCACGATAAATTCTTTCTGAAGTCAGTCCTCGATTCGGGTTCTATTCAGATGAGCCCGTGCTGAGTCACTATACTAGGAGAAACTACAATGAAGCTGAGAGGTGCTTCAAAGCACTGCAGCAAGCGCTCCCTAATGATAAAGAGATTAAAAGCTGGATTTTTCGGTCGCGGAAACACCTTCAAAAAGAACATACGGGCATGTATGATTGGGGACATCAGTTCGCAATATCCCAGCGCGATATCCATCTCGACATCGCTGATTACCAAGGTCCCATCGACGTCATGCAGTTCAAGACTCGTGGAGGAAGTCGGGGCGTTATCGCAATGAGATATGCTGTTGAGGAGCCCCTGATTACGCTCCTTCACGTCTATCAAATCCAATCTTCCCCTTCACAATCTTACACTCACTTGTACAGCTTGTATCAAATCCCTTTGTGCACGTATCTATGGCCGATTTTCCCGACAGAAAAGCACAGACAAGTATGAATTTCACCACCTCGCGTAGGATTACGCGCACCCAAGCTGCAACCCCCTCTCACGTCGCCCAGAAGCTTTATGGAAATCCAAACTTCTTTGATCTTGTCTTTGATTTTTATACAGGAAGCGACTATCCATCTCTCCCTCCTGCATACTCCCATATTTTACCTCACTTTGCCGCTAATAATCGATATCAACATCGCCAGACTGGAATCTAGAATTTGTGCTGATTCGCTGCGGATTCGTTGTAGCCCTTAAGCCTTGGGATCGAGAAAGACGACTTGCATACGCCTCGACTGGGTTTTACACATTACTGTTCCTCTTCAAGCACGCATGCGCCCCCAATGCGCGCTGTAATTGTATTGGTGATGTCATGGTCACCAGCAGAACGAATCAAAGCTGGCGCCAAAGTCATCCTCTCAGACTGTTGCTCCTCTGCGGAGTCGTACGAAAAGCGTCGCGAAGATCTATGGACCCACGCGATCCTCATCTGTGACTGCTGGTTATGCAAAGACGACCGTGCAGACGGCGAATCTGCGCTCAGAAGACGAGACCAGCTGACCGATGAATTCTTCCGGGATGGTATGGAGGGTACACCGCCTCTATCCTGATTGCGCTCTTTGGATAAACAGCTGTCTGCGACGTACGCGAAGACACGAGGGCCCACGCATCTGGTAACGGCGTACCTCCACCAGTACATTAACATGAAGATGTCCAAGGGCTCGCCGGAGGAACGCGACCACGCCAAGAAGGAACTTCTCAAAGCTCTCAAGGCCTTGGGAATGGGGACTGCGGGTGTCGTACCCAGTTCAGAAGGAACTTCAAGCTCCCAACAACAGAATATTAACCGTCCAATCGAAACAGATCGTGGTGCAGATGCCTTTTATCATCATGCGGCGTTTGGCTTATGACTATGATTATGGCGACGACGATCATGCGAACGCGGGAAGATGGCTCAAGGCCGCTCAGTGGAGTAGGTACCAGTACTCTATGTGTGGCGGCATAGCGTCTCATTGGATTTGCAGCGGCTAGAATAGCTGTTGCCAGTGTTGGCGACAAAGAGCTGTTTTTCTCGATTCCCAGGCCTTTCCTATATTTTTTCAAGCTACGTAACCTCCTGTAAAATTATCAGCTATTGGTATGAAGATCGTTATCTTTACAGCCTTTACTCATTCAGTATTGTGTGTGGGCGAGACTACTTGTGATTTGTTCAAAATACATTGACCGTTTAGCAATACTAAGAAAAGCAACCCAGAACCCTAACAGAGGACGCAACGAATCGATGAAGAGATACAGCCAAACTAAGCGAACCTAGCAAAGTAAAGAACAGGCTTGCCCGTTACCAACCACACTTGAACGATGAGAAGGTGAATGTGGTGATTTGAACAGCGCAGATTCCAAATCGGCGCGTCAGCGAAAGCGAAATCATGTATCTCCCACTTGCACGTTGAACCTACACGGCATGGATTGAGACACAACGAGCCCACGCAGGAAAGAATCCACTCACTGGGCTTGGCCGACGATGTTTCCGGCAGGGTGGTAAAGGCACACGTGGTACGTGGCGGGCTCGTCGAGTATGTTCGAGCACTGCGCATTGGCACACCCGAGCTGCGTCGTGTTCTTCCACAGCACCTGCGTGGAATGCAGATAACTGGGGTCCTGGGGATTGTACTGGGCTGCGTCGGGCCTAATCAGCGAGGCCTCGACCGGGAGCCTGTCGAAGATACGTACAAAGGTCGGTCATGAACTCGTCCACTGCCTGGTAGGGCGCAAAGAGCCCCGTGCCGGCCGCGAGGTTCGCACCGGCCGAGACCCCGAGAGTACTGGGCGCTGGATTGGCAAAGACGCAGCTGTCCGCGTAGGCCTGTGCTGCCTGCTGCAGGTCGTCCCCCCATGTCAGCGCATCCGTGTCATAGAACTGCCGCCAGTTATTATGGGTGTTCAGATATTCCTGAGCTTCTGTAGTGTTCGAAGTAGTGGCCGGAGCCGGAGCAGAAGCAGTGTTAGAGGACGACGTAACGGAATTGGGCGAGGATTCGGAGGACGGGGACGAGGATGAGGTAAAATCGGAGGTAGAGGGGATGGAGCGCGCAACGGTCGAGTTGCTCGTGGTAGATGGTACAGACGAGGTTCCTGCCCCGAAAGATGTCCCTGCTGCGGTTCCGAGAGGGCTAGACGCCCTTATGGAAGCAGACTCCGAAGAGAAGGGCGAGAAGGAAGGAGGGGGCACCGAAGGAGAAGGCGAGATGGGATTCGACAAGTTCGTTGGCGCTGCTACATACAGGTCAACTTACGATCAGGATTGACTAACAGGGTGTGCGTACTGGTCAAACTCCCAGACGACTGCCCTAGGATTGGCGGCGTAGGAACAGTCGGTACCGTAAATGTCGAGTTGTTTGATTCCGTATTTGCTGTTGGTGAACCGGACTGACCAGATGGTAGTTCCGACCCGATCTCGCTGCCATTGAAAGGACTACTCGAGGGAACGAGAGGCAAGGGCGAAGCTACAGGTATAGAAATGGATGATGCACCCTGAAGAGCTGATCTCTCTCCCTCAACTATGGATTGATGAGTTCTAAGTCTGAAACAACTTCGAGGAATTGAACATACCCTGTGGGACAGCAGGTGTTGGAGCAGCACCGGAGGCAAGCGCCAAAAGAGCAACAATCAAGATGTTGAACAGCATTTTGAATATAGAAAAGAGCGACGGGGAGAAAGAGTGAGGGATACCTTGCAAACGCAGGTATATGTAGATATGTACTAGCTTTGCCCTTGGGCAAGGAACCTGCAGCTGGCCTGCTCAGCGACTCGACAAAATATGTGAGGCACAGGTTCGGAGATGCCGCCCATTTATACAAGATGACCACACGTGATGGCGATGGTAGCGAGGATGAAGGATCCCGTCAGAACATTATGCGGTCTGGGAATACAAATAGATGGTCAGGTACCCGCAGAAGTCGGCATCTCGACCTTGCCACTGGAAAAATGCAGCCGGTGGCAGAGATGAGGCCGCCCATTGAAGATGTCATCTGCCAGACCACACTTACAACCTAGAGATTTAAAGATCTCGGGTCTCATTGCCATTGCATGGTGTATCCGAATGATAGATACACAGACAGATATTTATCACTGGATACTAATACCGTCTTCACAACATAGACAACAATGATGCAAACGAGCACGCAGATCCTCGGGCTTGCCGGTCTGTCCGCAACATTGTCAGTACAGCAAGCCAACTTGTTGTATTCATCATGCTGCAGATGCCGGCCGAATGTTGTATTCCCGCTTGAATACTTCGAATTCTTCCTCCTTAGACTTGTATTGGTCGGTCAGTGTTGATATAACCTTCAGGATCTGCTCATGAAAAGTAAATTTCCGAAAGCACAGCGTATCAAGCAGCAGACGTACCCCATCCTTGTTCGTCTGCAGTGCAGGCACAACATCCTCGACAGTGCGCTCGACAAGCACACCGCCGACCAGCCTGAAGCACTTACGATCAGGCTCCTCGGCGAGTGCCTCGTCTAATGTAGCCAACACCAACCTAGCAAGCTTGGTTTAGGACAGATACGAACTTGAGAGCGCATTTCCACGCACCCATGTTCCTCCGCCTCCTGCTCAAGCTCGCCTATCTTGCTCGCCAACGTCTGCAAGTCATTTTGGAGACGGTTGTAGTTCTGCTGGATCTCTGGCTAGCGAATTCGCCCGTGACCTTTCAGGCCTGCATTGGTGAATGGCCACAACGTACCCTGTGTCGTGAGAGGAGGAGTCGATTTCGTCTGTGTGCTCTTCGCCTTGGCCTTTGCGGCGGACATGGTCGCTGATTCGGAGCCTGGGCGACGCGCCCCGAAAGCTGCGATCCCAGCGATATGATTGGTCAGCGCCGTGTCCCGGCATCCCCCGGGGTGGCCTGCATGACGCCCGACGCCGTTGAGTTGGCCCGCCGCTGTCGCTAACTACCCTCAACGCCGTCGTCGCCGTCGAGCACGTCGACTACAACCTCCATCACCATGTCTTTTGTCCGCGCGCTCGTCGCTGCTGGGCCCTCAGCGCGGGTAGCCGCTCGTATGGTGGCCCCGCGTCCGTCTGCTCTGCTGGCCCACCGTCTGCTGTCTACAACTGCCCGACGCCTCGCTCAGGATCCGTTGCTTAAAGATGGTCATGTCCACGACCATCTGCACGACGCTGCTTCTCCTCGCTCTCCCGGCATCAAGACGTCTATGTACTCTGCTGCGGATGAGCCGGGCAAGGATTTCGACCCGTACAAGGACGGGCCCGGTGCTATCGACAAGGCGGTCCACCTCTTTTTCTTTACGGAGATACTGCGAGGTGCGTCAGCGATGACACCGTCTCGTCTATGGGGCTCTCATTGTTGTCGGCAGGCATGTGGCTCGTGCTAGAGCAATTCTTCAGGCCACCATATACGATCATGTATCCGTTCGAGAAGGGTCCCCTATCGCCACGCTTCCGCGGAGAGCATGCTCTGCGAAGGTACCCCAGTGGCGAAGAACGCTGCATTGGTAAGTCCCTGTGTTCGGCGGCGTGTGCATCCCTTCATATGTCGTTAGCGTGCAAGCTCTGCGAGGCTATCTGTCCCGCACAAGCCATCACCATCGAGAGCGAAGCCCGCCTGGATGGCTCGAGACGGACCACGCGATACGGTGAGTAACGCGCGCTGGCGTCGTCCGCGCTCCAGGAGACGCGCTGACGAGTTTGCAGATATCGATATGACCAAGTGCATCTACTGTGGGTTCTGCCAAGAGGCCTGTCCGGTGGACGCGATCGTAGAGAGTGCGCGGATTTTATCTATTCAGATTTTCTGGCGCTGATGACATTTCGGGATCATCATCAAATTGTGCATTGCACGGAACGACTACGCTACATTGTCCGGTGGGGTTCTCCCGCGCAGCGCAAAACCAAGAGTTCTCTACGGAGACGCGTGAGGAGCTGCTGTACAACAAGGAAAAGCTGCTGGCGAACGGGGACAGGGCCGAAGCCGAGATTGCGGCGAACCTTCACGGTGCGTTCTTTCCCATCGCGTCCATCGCCCAGGATGGGTGGGGCTGATCATGCGCGCTCGCTGCAGCGGACCACGTTTACCGATGAGCGGACCTGGACGGCAGGTGTGGGTAAGCGGATGTGCGTGGGATGCAGGCCGCCACAAAGGGGGTGTCGAGGATGCTTCAAACCTTGTGTGGTGTATATAACCAATCGAGACCGACCCGTGTGTTTCTCACATGTTTGAAAATAGACTTACCGTGATGATTATTCAGAGCCGGCGGCTTGTTGGTCTGACCTTTGTGCCGGGTTGCAAGTGCAACACTACTGTCACACCGTCTGTGTGGACAGACGCTGACCCAGATACGCGGATGGCTTGCGCGTGGGTCAGATGTTGTGTTGTCGATGGGATTGTCTGATATTATTCGGCCGGGAGAGAGACAGTGGGCCGGACAGGGCCCTCGCCGAAGGGACGAGATGGATGCCTGTTCGAGGTGGCTCTGGTGTTCTCCCGCTGGGATGGATGAGAACCCGATTCTTCACGTTCAGCGATTGTAGCAGATTGATGACCGAGAAGAGAAACAAACCTTAAGGGACCGCCTGACTGGCGCGGTGGATCGACGGCATGGCGGTGAGGCGTGGCTACCAACCTTCCGCACTGGCGTCGAGCGCTCCGGTGCAGCCAGAGCGGGGCTCGCTAGCGTATCCGTAGCGGGCCCTCTCTCGGAGTCGTTGCACTTGCAGGTTGGCCGGAAACATATGGTTCCGCTGCCACTCCCGCTGCGTCGCCCTCGCCCTCGCCCTCGCCTGGCCAGTCCTGAAACTCGCCTGCTCCAGTCTCCGTCAGCGCGGACGCTTATCGACTGCGCCCGGACGTTGATCTGGTACTCGGACCGCAGCCCAGAGCCCCTATCCGAGGCCTTTCCCGGCTAGCTTTTCTGCTATTCAGTCTCGGACAGTCATGCGCCCCTCTCCCATTCGACCCCGGCATGACGTAGCCGCCATTTGGAGCCATTCACTGTGCTGTACCCAACAGCGGGCGAACGACGACGACGCTAGCGGCCACGTTGATCCGCCCCATCCCATCCCAGCCGGAACGCCTGCACATCTCCGAGCCCAGTCCGAACTACAATCCCCGCAACAAGTCGCGAGCCAGCCGCACGCGCGAATGCATCTGCATCACAGAACCCGGACTCGCAGGGGCTCTCGTCAGCAGACCTGAGACAGTCATCTCCCCCCCCCTGCCGCAGCGTCAGCACCACCGTCGGGACGGCCCAAGCTATGTCATCCACCATCCGTCGGAGCGCCCGCACACGTACGCTCGACCACTTCAGCAGCAGCCCCCCGTCCACGCGCAGCAGGAACACAAAGCCTCCGCCCACCAGATGCGGATGCGGAACGCAATCCCACCCTGAGCGGCGCCGCGGGCAGACATCCCCCGGGCCCACCATCGCCGAGCATCCGCGCCACCGCGCGGGCGGCGGCGTACAAGTTGCGCCGCCACCCACGCGTG